AAACCAACCATCCACTGACAATGGTGGCGCAAGCTTGGCTGCAGTGCGCCAGGGAACAACAGCTGATCCCGAAAATTCTGGCCCACCCACGCCGACGCCAGAGCCTCCGTTGTCAATCAAGGAGTCCGAAGATACAGCGTTGGGCCTCCCAGGAAACGGACCGGCTGGATATGAACCAGCCGCCTATGTCCACTGTGGTGCCTTCGGCGCATGCGTCTGCTGCTGCTTTGCATGCCAGGATTGGCTTGCTTTGTAACGGGCATGCCAAATCTGCCTGAAAACATTGCAGCCATTCAATATTGGCTCTGCTTGTCTTGGACAACCGAGTGTGTCGGCAGCGGGGTCTGCCACGCGCACGCTGCTTTGTGACTGGGCACTGCACTAGGCAAGTCCGATGGGCTGCGCACGGGGGTTTGCTGGTGTTCTAATACCTTTGAACCCAGCGGCGTGACAATGCCGTGCACGGGGTGTGGCCTTGGCGTTGAGCGCCGAGAGGAATGCAGGCCACAGGCGTGCGTTTATGGAAATCATGCAGCCTGGTGGTGAATGCAGATCTGCATACAAAGGCGCGCCAAGACCTCAATTCCATGCTCAGGCTGGTGGCCCAAATGAGCAGCTCCATCTTTTTGATCGGAGCAGGGCATGCAGCGTTTCAGAGTTTTAAGCGGTGTGAGTTCGATGGTTTCCAGGAGGAAATTAATGGACCATCCGCACCAAGTCAGGCAGTTTTGGAATTGCATTTTTTTCAAGGAAATGGGCGCACTGATGGCTGCGAAGAAAATGACTATTAGAGCAAGTTGTTATGCGCGTCCGGGCGGTGCAAAGCGGCCAACAGGTCGTCCAAACAACCAAGCTTGGTGGGGGTGTGCTGATAACACCCCGTGTAGCAGCCTGAGTAAGAATGCTCCAGTGCGTTGCCACCAGTACGCGGAGAACCGGGCTCCGAAGTGGCACACTCGGTAATGGTACAGAGTGTCTGTGAAACGGAAGAGGAGCAAGCCGGGTGCGCCTGAATTTGCTTGTGTGCAGCCTTAAAGTCAAAGCTAGCGCCTATCCTATGAAGGAGGCATGCGTGTCTTCTGGCATGAATGCGAGGCGAACATCGGATGCCATTGGCAAACTGACTCGCTCCGGGATATTGCATTGGGGTTTACCCCGCACACGGTGCTGTCTAGCGCCAGGCGTGGTTCTTTCCCCTTTGCATGCACGACGTTGAGTTTACCAACTGCGATGCCTCGACGGTGCGGACGACCCACCCGTTGGAGATTTCTTTTTCTAACAGGGCGGACACTGTCTGCGTTTTCTTTGGGCGGCCACTGCATGCTACGCGGCAACTTGGAGAGTGCACCTGTTGGGACCCCTTTTGCAATGGAAGGAGTCTGATATCTGGGTCCTCCGATGCGGAGGCCAACGCATGCAAGAGTGACAGCCCTGGCCGGGAGCCAGGCTGGCTGGGGCGGGCATGCCGACCGCCCCAAAGGCAATGAGTGCTGCCTAGCTTGCTTTGAAGCCTTGGCCCAGCTTGCACTCATGCGAATCGCTTGGGCTACCGAAGGCCACGCCGTGCACGGCCTCTGCATGCCTTCCGGCGCAGATAGTACTGCGTTCGAGGCCAGAGTGACAAACTGTTCACTACAGCATGGCCCCTGCAAATTTTTGTGCAACTAGTCGCTGCATGGGCTTACAAGCGCAAATGGTCAGTGCTAGCCTCGCACATCCCAGGTGAGCGCAACGTGTGGGCTGATCAGCTCAGCCGCGGAAATACTTTCGCTTTCGACAGCAAGCCGCATGCTCGCTTTCGATTTCGCCCGCATGATTTCTGGCCCCATAAATCCGCGCTGTCATTGCATCCGCCTGACGGCCCGTGGCGGCCGGAGCATAAGAGTGCTTCGCAAACGCTCTGAAGAGGGGGCGATAGATTAGGCTTGCTTGGGGCATTTGAGAAGGCTCCGCAGGGGGGTGCAGACACGGGGAAAGGACACGCACTGTCTTTCCCCCCGCACCCCCGAGCCTTGACTTCCAAGCAACGCCTTATGAAGGAAAAGAGCAAGCGCACCTTTTATCGGTCGTTCTCTTTTGTCTCTTGATGCATGTTCCCTTACAATTCGCTGCGGCGGCCAAAATCTGCGCGAACTGCCGCATGTGTTCAGATGTTGAACTGTAAACCTCGGTGACGCGGTGGGAAAACATTTATTTATCGCCAATCTTCGCAATCGCATCGAAGAAGCCTTGTTTGCACCGCTCCGAGTGTCAAACCTTCGCAGACTTATCACACTCCAACTTTTTGGACGTCGCCAATCTGGCTGACGTTTGAATTAGATTGTCACATTTATGATATGGGGCAAGTAAGGGTGCTTGCGTTGGATTTGTGTTTGCGTCGGGTTTTGGCGCGTGGTGAGTTGCAAAGACGCAAGTACCACGTTCAGAAGACATGTTTTGTTGCATGCACGCTGTGCATAGCATTTTGTTGCGTAGTGTGGTTAGAATCTTTGATTTGGAAACGCCTTCCAAAAATAAATGATGCCCATCACATGTCCGATCAAATTTCAGGCTCAGATTGGTCGATACAACGCATGTCCTGATGCATGTTCTATCCACCACCGCTATGGGAGACTTAAATATGCAAACGCTATGCAGCTATTGTGAAGGCTTGTGTGCTCATTTTTTCTCGGGGATAGTGGTTTGGGGGTAATGGCCATTTTCTTGAAGGGGGAATACAACATTTAGTTTTTGAATTCCAGCGGCTTTGGACAGCTTGTTGGCACAGTCGACCACTTGCCCGGAATGTCAGAATCCAGCCGCGCTTTTGCAATGCTGACATCTGATGTTTGAGCCGCTTGACTGCAGGGAACGTCCGCAGCAATGAGCTTTAGCGTGTGTTCATCACATATATTGTTTTTATAGACAACACACACACACACCAGTGAATTCTGAAGGAAGGTAGATTCATTGGGGGTGGGGGGGTACCATATATATATATATATATGTACGTCCCTGTCCATGTCTATGTCAGTGTCCATGTTTATGTCAATGTCTATGTACAGTAAATTCCATGCCTCTGTCGATGTCAATGTCTATGTCTCGTCTATTTTCATGTCTATGTCTATGTCTATGCACACGCCTATGCTGACTATGTTTGACATCGTGCTACGCAGTTACCACTGGCCTTTGTTTTAGATCGAAATAGCGCTCCACAATCAAAGCCCAGTCCAACCAGGAATAGGTGCGGTCGCCCTCTCAGTTCTCTACATGTTTCTGGGTAGACCACTTTGGTACCAGGAGCATTACGACTCGGTTTTGGATACACCCGCTGCCTTTTGGAAGCGATTTGGCCTAAAATCTGTTTTTCCTAAGCCCCTTGTCAAAATGTTTCCTCCCTGAATAGAGTTTGTGTTTTGGGGGATCAGCCCCCAAACCAATCCCGGCAGGCGATGCACAGGAAAGCAAAGCGCCTTGCGAGCCATAAAGCGCTTGGATGCATTCTCTATTTGCGTTGCAAGACTCAGGAAATGCTGGCTGCTTCTTTTGGCAGTTTTGGGCGTATTGATGTAGTTGTGACCATGTTGCTTGTTCTGCCCTGAGGAATTCGCACCACTACCACCACCATGTGCAGGCTGGGAGTGGCTTTGCGGCGTGATTTGCTTTGAGAACCGCCCAGAAGTTCGCCTTCACCATGCCAGGACCTGTTAAAAAAACTGCAGCTTCTTCTGGAATCTGTTGGGTGTCATTTCGGCAGTGTTTGTTTCCCTTGGGCTCCCAGGAAGCGGAGGTAAGACGTAGAGTGGAAATCCTTCGATTTGCTGGAGGCTCAATAGGTTTTGGTGGTGCAGGTAGTCGACAGGAACGCGACCGGGTTGGTCTCGAAACGGAAGTCCCCGAAAGCCGAAAGTGGTTGTTCGCCTTCGGACTTTGGCACAACCCTGACACGCTGCAGTTTGATCGCTCAGCCCACGGACGTTTTGTGGCACATATCATACCTCTTAGGAAAACCGCATGAGACCACCCATTTCGGTTGTCCCCATTTAAAGACCGCTAGAGACATATCTATATATCCATATACATATGGTTTGCCGGTGAATGGGGGTGTTAGCCTTGGAAGATCTTTGCCCTTGGCAACCGGATTTCTGGTGGGAAGCCGGAGATCCTAAGAGCTGCACGCACAGTTTGGTGGGCTTCCCCTGAATGTTGGACCTTCCCATGCCCCATGCACAAGTGAGCCACATCCTCAAAACCCGAATAGACGAAGGTTAGCAAGCGGCAATCCAAGCCGGAAATAGGCGTCTGCCTTGAATTTTCCTTACATGGGTTTGGGTAGACCATGTTAGTACCAGGTTTTGATCGGGACTCAAACGAACGAAGCTCCACCGGACTTTTCTTTAGGGTGATGCGCCTGATGCCCTCGGGCGAGGGCTCGAGAGGGTTCTCAAGACGTCTTTGGGCTCAAAATGCAAAACTCTAAGATGGTTCGACCCCTCAAACCACCTACCACCCCCTACAACCACTAGCCACTATGTAAGGGGTATATTACCTTGTCTTCCGGGGTGTGGCTTGGGGCCAGTGGAAACAATGGTAGAAATTCGTACTCCGTCGCGGAGTGTGAACGTGCACAAATGTTCTGCAGCCAAGGACAATCTCAAATGAATGTTGAACATTGCCAGACCCTGAGCCCCGCCGACTTGGGCAGTGCTTACCGTCCATCTTTTGGCTGGTGGGGCGCGTGACTGCAGGAAAGCGATATCCGCCAGATGAGGAGCCCATAAGTATTTCTCCTCCCAATCATGTTCGCTGAGGGTTCATTCCAACAGGCACCCTCCATTGTCAGAATTGCTGGAGGAAGTGTTTCTTCGCCTTTGGCACCGTTGCCACGTGCAAATTTTGCACGTGGCCAACGCCGCGTGCCCGGCGAGCGAAGCGCGCGTGCCGGCCGTCCGTTTCTTCGGCTCGAGGGGAAACGCGAAGCAGGGGGATTTGAGCTCAGTGACCCAGAGATCTGATCAGCCATGGGCGCCTTGGCCGGCCTTGGGGGGGATTCAATCTCTGGGCGTCTGCAGGTCTGAATCGCCCCTTGTTTAAATGGCCCGTCTTTTGAGTGGAATGGAGTATTTGACTGGCGGAGTCTTTTGAGATGAATGGAGCAGGCTTGTGCCATTTCATGCAGGTCTCATCTTTTTTGCCCAATTTCAAGGGATGTGCCTCTAAGGGTGATGTTATATAGGGGAAAGGTGTCCCACTTGTCTGAGCGAGGGCCCAAGACTGACCCGAAACATCTCCCCCCAGAGGAAACTCCCCCAAAAACGAGGTCGGGGGCCGTCCAGTAAAAAGCCGGTGGAGAAGCTGGGGAGATGGGGTTGCCAACGAAGGGGGACCGGCACGAGGAGAATTGCCCCAAAGCGACCTGTTCAGGTTTGCCCGTATTTGGGCAATCTGCACTTTGTTTCGCAGCTTGCGGGTAAGGCGCCTACAAGTACCTTGAGGAGATGTGGCGCAAGAAGCAGTCCGCCGTAGCCCCAAGGGCGGATCTCGCGAGAGGGGTCACTTGTGGATGTTTCTGTCCAATGTCTTTTTCGGTTGCCGGGGACAAGCAACAAGACAAGCACATGCAAGTAAGCAAATGGGGAAGCCGATGAGGTCTTGATGGCATTTTGTCGACCCAAAGAGTAGGAAAAGGGGGACGCCGAGTAGCACTCGGAATCCAATCTGCTCACTCCAATCCATTCAGAGTGCGAGTAAAACATCCCGCACAGTCAAAACACAGGCAAACCACAAGGCTGGTAGGGGACCGCAAATAGGCACGCATATGAGACCTGTTGGGGGTCAACAATAGAAGTAATCGTTGTTACATGGATGTGCAGGGGGGCTACTGAAACAAAGGGAGCGATCTTTGACACAGTCAAGCCAAATGGTGTTAAACTGATACTGATTTTATATATTTATGTATTTATTTCTATATTCACGTAGAATAAGATAGCCTGTAACACCAGTAGTAATGATAATGGCAATACTGACAAAAATAATAGCGGCAATACCAATAACAACAAACATACCGGCAACAATACCAGTAACAAACCAATAGCAATACCCATAGCAATGTCAATAGCAATGACAACCAGAAGAATGGTGATAATAGCAACAAGAATAGTCTAATGCTGATGATGACAATAGTACAATGGTAATAATAACAAGTCAGAGCACTAATAATACTAATAATAACAATAATAATAATACTAATAATCATAACAATAATAATAAAACTATTAATAATAATATTAATAATAATATTAATACTAATATTAATAGCTTTTATTAATATTATTATCAATCATGATATGAACATAACCACACCAACAACAACGACAATGATAATCATGATAGTATTAATCATGATGCCAAATACAGCAGCAATCATATATATATATATATATATAAATAGTATTATTCTTTTGTTTGTTCAACAACTCGAATCACTGGGGATGATAATGGCTAGCTGGGGGTGGCTAACCACTCACCTTCCCTTTTTGGACTGAATGTACGGATGAATCCGTGTGTACATAGGTTCTGCGTTTCTTTTTGAGGGTATCCTTTTTGGGATGGCTTTTAAAAGAAAGCCACATAAAATGGCAAGGACAGGCTCAACATGGCTGGTGGAAATCCAAGAGCGCATCTCTTTTATCCCTAGTTGGAGATCATATTTTCCCAATTCTCGTCAAAGTCTCATACCTGGTACCGTGGGATGCCCCTGCAGCAGTTCTGACTCCACCGCTAAATCCGACTCATCAACTGGGGTTGATTCATCCAGGATCAACTAGGGGCTTAGATCGGGTTTGGAGATTCTTCTGACTTGGGCCCTTTCGCCGCGGGTTCCTTGATATGTTGCCATTCGGGTGGGTTGATTAGGGCCTTGAAGGGTCCCCTTTGCACCAAAGGCTTGGGGCAAGCCCCCCCCGAGCCCACCGCTCGCCCACCGCTCGCCCGCGAGCGGCGAGCGGCGAGCTCAGGACGTCATGCGCTTCCTGGCGCGGCTGCGGAACTGGGAGTTCCGCCAGCCCGGGGCCCAGGGGTTGGGTTTGGTTGGGCGTGCGGGGCTTGGGTTGGGGGGGTTGGGTTGGGTTGGGGGGGTTTCTGCGGTTTGGGGCAGAAATGGCTCCTGGAGTCCAAATCCCCGAGGCTTGGAAGCGGAAAAAAGAGGGGCGGGTTCGCCTGCTCCACGAAACTCTTCTCGACTTGGAAGACAACTCCTTGCTTGTGCTCAGCAGGGAATGAGGGAATGCACCCCCTACAAAGCCATTCCTTGCAGTTTCCTTCCAGTGGAATCCCTGGGTTTATTGCCACATTCCCTACTTATCGCACCAGCAAGAACTCAGTAAGGAATGAGGGAATGAACTCAGAGGTCCCCTTAAAGGAAACCATAGGAAATGCATGGCTTAAATCGGGTGCATTCCATTTGGCTGTGGGTCAAAAATGGGTAGCCACAATGGCTTGCCCTGGTAAATGGGTTACCAAGCACTAAAAACCGTGGTCCAATTCCTGGTGACTAATTTTGACCCACACCCATATAACTACCCACCATCTACCATATGATAGACCTTACTGTGCATGGTTGAAAACGGGTGCATTCCATTTCAACTTCTCATCCCGTTCAGCTCTCGCACCATCTCTTGACTCTTCCGCTTGGTTTGTCTCACGCAGGTTGCCGGCGGTGCACCGCTGCAGCCGGCCCACGCGCCCGGACAAGGCACGGAAGGTGGGCTACAAGGCGCGGGGGAGCGGACCGACCGGAGGGCCGGGAGCGTTGGGGGCGGGGGGGGCTGGGTTTAGGATGCGTGGGATGTGGATTTGTGGGTCAAAACCAATGGAATCCCATTTTGGGGTTTTTGGCGCACTCATCGGGATGTTCACTGGGGGTAGGGGGTTTTGACCCATGGCCATGTGTCTTTTTGGTTGGGGAGCCCACAGAAATGGTGGTTTGCGTTTTTTGGATAAACCCCTACAAACCAAGGAGTAAGTGGTGGCATCGGAAAAAAGAGACACCTATATGGGGTTACCCTTTGAAGTGGGGAGTGAAGTGGATGCGAATATTTTGTTGTTTCACTTCTAGAAAGAGGCATCAGGTCGAGTAATTCCAACCTAAGTAAGCTTATTCGCAACAAACAAACTGGAGCCAGTTGCCGGTGCTCTTTGAGGGGCTGAGTTGTCGTTGGGTCTTGTTTGTTCTTAGGGCTGTCGTCTGGCTGCCAGGTTTGGTTTGGCTTGGCTGCCTTGGTTTGGCTTGGTTTGCTTTTGTTAGGTTTAGATTGGTCGATGGATGGAGACGAAATAACACTTCACCCTTTTTTGCGGTGTCTGACAGAAACCATGGCAACCCTGTTCTAAGACAAGCAGATTCCCCAACAGAAATATCCCCAGAAGACCTAGTGGGAGAACCATGGACGACATGGAGGACATTGAAGACATGCGGGCAAAATAAACTTTGGAGCATCAAAACAAGTTTGCTAAATATCCACCGCACATTGGCATCTGAGAATGAGTTGGGGTGACGCAACACGCCGTTTCGGTCAGAAAGTCTCAACCCGCCCATTCTTTTCAGGGAGCCTTCTTTCCAGACCACGAAACAGCTGGCGTTTGAAAAGAACACTGGTTTTGGCAAGTCCAACATGGGCTGAAAAGCCAACTGCCAGGGTCTTCTTGGTCAGATCCCAACTTCGGTCTTTTGCTGAGGCTCATCCCCCCGCCAAAAAAAGGGCGGATTGTGGCAGGGGGGGAGGGTCTCACCAAGTGAGCCAGGACTGGTACCAGGACGGGTGCCTTTTTTTCGCCAGGCCAAGCAGGGCTACTGCGTCTACCGCGTCCGCGTGAAGCGCGGGGACCGCAAGAAGCGTGTGGCGAAGGCGGCCTGGAGGGAATGGACCCATGGCCTAAAATGGCGGCTGGGCTGTTGGGTTTCCAACACCCAAGGTGACAAAAGGACCCGAAAGAGCATAGCTTTCCGTTTCCTTGGAGGAGTTTCCATTTATGATGAACTGCCAGTAGAAAAGGGTTGCCCCTTGTTCTTTCTTTGCTCATGGATTGCTACTGGAGATTTGAGTATTTGAATCCAGGGCGGTCACCGACAGAAGTGAAGGATGGGACAACCCCCTATTCATCAACCAGGGGTATACCCAAGTGGGTGGTGATCAATGCACTGAGACACTTTTTACGGTTAAGGGGGTTCTGGGTGTGACTCACTAAGAAACCTGACACTTGAAACACAGGGTCTGGGAAAGAACGAGATAGGTGCATATTTCAAGGTAAACTTGAACCCAGGGATGGTTGACTTGCCGGGAAACCCTGGAGTTTAAGTCTGCATGGAGGCACAAGAATGGAACCCTTGGGCTGGACACTGTAGCATGTTCACCAGCTCGTGGCTGCTTTGCTTCCAATACTTCAATACTTGGGGCCTCAACTGTTTGGGTTTCGGTCTTCCAGTCATTTGGTGTCCCAAATTTGGCAGCCAAAAGGACCACATTCGGAGAATGCTCGAAGGAACCAACGGAGGCTTTCATTTGGAGCCTTTTGTTGGCAGGCTGTCCTCATCGTTTCAATCTAGCCCTCAACAAGTCTTCTGGCCACGCACCAAAACGCCGCATGGGCAATGGAGCTGGGAAGCGAGAAGTTGTTTCCAGTGCCTTTGACATAGGGCCCCTTCCTGACCTTTTGTCGTCGGCTTTGTGTCGGTTCCCGGATCCGGGGATCCCGGGACCCGAGGACCCAGGATCCCACGATTTGACGCATCAATTTTTGATACGGGTGCGTCTTGTTTTGAGGGTCGACCCTTTATTGTTTGTGGTGGTTTTAAGAGGAAACCAAATGGAAAGCCACCGTTTTGGGAGGTCTCCTAGTTTAACACACTCTTTGCAAGCACAAGCCGTCGGATGAGTGGCTCCTCTCATGTTGGCCATACAAAAGTATGGCCCTGAATCAGATGATTTGCATCTATATAATTTGGCCTGGACTCATATATGAATCAGTGCCAAACAGTCCCTAGGGGCAAAGATCAAAGGGCCACATGAGGCCGCGGCTCTGGATTGTTGCGGCTTTGATGTCTTGGACGATTCCCTGCCTCCGGAATCTGTTTTGAATGGTTTGACCGTGTAAGGCGCACTGAATATGGACCAAACATATGACTCTTGGCCGGGGGCAAAAGCTGGACTAAGTGAGCTTGCAGGTTTGCACAAGGTCAGATTCGGGTTAAAATTGAACGAGCTGATCCGCGAGCGAAACGGGGTCTGACAATTCAATTTCTGCCCTTACTTACAGGTGACAAGTGACCCTTGCTTAATCCGCTTCAAGTATGGCAAGGGGACCATTCTGGCGATGTTTTAATCAGGAAGCCAAGACAAGCGCAGATGAACATGGAACCCATCGTTCCTTATGCGTCCCCAAAAGGAGACTTTGGGTTCCTTGTTACTGTAAGCGAGGCTTGCAGAGGCCAAGACCATAGTAATAGACTCGTTTGACGCCCAAAGTTTTCCTACAACACCCTATAACCCCAAGAGTAGTTGGATGAAGCTTGGACAGAGATTTGAAGTTGGAGACTGCCCCTTGTCCTTTGGTGGTTGGACCAGTAAAGAGATACATTGAGGCCTCCCCGATGTCTTTCTCATAACCCGAAGGACCGCTTCCAAAGATGTTCGAATGTTCTAAGCACCTTTACTGGAGGTTGCGGGAGGGGGAGGGAAACTTCTTCTGCTACAGTATAGCTTTCCTCCCCAAAAAGGGCAGAGACAAAGATCTGGTGTTTCCTTTTGGATGCCCTTCCAGACGTCCCACAGACCAGAAAGCCGGATGGCGAGTAGTTTCTCCAAACCGACGCTTGAAAGGCCAGCGCTTCCTGCGCGGCGCAAGCCGCCATTTGGGCATGGGTCAAAATTAAACCATCAGGAAACCGCAGGTGTTTTAGTCTTTGGTTTCATTTTTCAGGAATCCCACAAAGTCTTATATCTATATATATATATATATATATATATTTGAGCCACATTCATCCATCTGCGGTTCAGGGCACCCCTGGCTAGTTTCTCCCAACCGCCGCCGCTTTCAGCGCCAACCCCGCTTTCCGCGTTTTTCCGCGCCTAACCCGCGCTTTCCGCGCTTAACCGCGCTTTCTGGCGGTGCAGGGCATCGTCTATGGCAAGCCGGTGAACCAGGGCATCAACAAGTGGAAGTCGGTGCGGAACTTGCGGTCCATCGCGGAGGAGCGCGTGGGCCGGAAGTGCGGGGCCCTGCGGGTGCTGAACTCGTATTGGGTGGCCCAGGCGCGGTGGGATTGGGTGGGGGGGTGGGGGAGGGGTTGGTGGGTGAGGGGTGTGGGGGGTAGGTTTGGGACAGTGGGGGGTGGGGAACGCGGGGGGGGGGAGGGGGGTTTGGCGGAAGGAGGGATTGAAAAGGGATCCGTGACTCTGCTGTTCTTGGAATGAATTGGCAGAGGTTGCTCCTTTCTGATGAGCGGAAACGGGAATCCGATCGCAATCGTGGTGATGGCCATGTCCCTTTTTTGGACTCCGGGAATGGGTTTCCACCATTGTCGCGCTTTGGGGGTGCTTTGGGGGTTTGACTCCCAGGTCCTTGCAACTGGGAAGCACCCACCCCCCATGTAAACCAGCGAATTAGAGGGAAGCTGATACAAAGCCACCTGGCCGGTCAAAATCCAAATCGTGCCCCTAGTGAACATCCGATTCAATCCAACCGCTAAAATAGGTTCTAACATGGGTGGCGAATTCACCCATCCCAACCAAAATGGGATCCCAAAACGGTTTTAATCCAACCACTAAGATAGGTTCTAGAATGGGTGGTGCACCTACTCCAGAAGTTCTACCATTGGTTTTGACCACCACCGCCACCTGTTGCTTTTAGGGCGGTGGGACGGTGGGAGGGCGCACGTCGGCCAACGGGTTTTTTGCTGGTGAAAAGGGACAAATGAGGGCAAGGGCAGCGAGGCAAAAAGTTGGCCCCTTAAGCCTGGTAATGGTTTTTTAAAGGGAGGCACTGGCCATTTTGGCCGATGCATATCCCAATTAGATACAACCCCAAGTAAAGACACACATTCTGTGCATGGTCATCGAAAGTCTCACTTTCTCCACTACCAATCATGTCAGAAAGCAGTCCTAAAACCTGATGTTCCCAAAAAACCTCTTTGTTTTTGTCCGGCCGCAAACAAATGGTGTTCCCTTTCCCTTTCAAACAACCGCCCGGACGAACAAATTCTGCTTCCTGATGAAGCAGCATTCAGAGCACGGGTGCAACCCGTTTTCTAAGAAGGATTTCTTTTTGGGGCCATCCATCAGCGCTCGTACTTGGGTTGGTTTTTCAGGATTTTGCTTTGGGTTGCCAGGGACAAAGTGAGTCTTTTTTTCCTGAGATGTTTAGAGGGGAAACCAATGGCCCTGTCCATGCTGAGGATGCGGTGCACAAGTGGTACGAGGTGGTGATGGTGGATCCCTTCCACAAGTGCATCCGCGACGACCCCCGCATCAACTGGACGCTGGGCATTGCACAAAAGCGGGGTTGGACCCGGTTTTGTTGGACCCCCAATCGTTTTTTTTTGGACCTAGCCAAGAGGTAAATCAGGGAACCCCAGAGTTGGTGGCACCAAACCACCAATCCCAATCACCCACTAGAGGGTATGTGGAGTGCCAAGACACAGGTCGGGGGTTGGAAAAACGGGGTTCCCACCTGCCATTGCCATGGAAGGCTGGCTGAAGGTTCCCCAACTGGGTTCCATTTTCCTCCTAGAGTTTCTGTCGGGTTCCATGTTAGATGGTTGTGTCTTGTTTAGGGAACCCCCGTTTGGTTGGTTTTAAAGGGAAGCCAAAAGGAACCACACATTTTGAGGATTCCCCCATCTTGAGACAAACCCATTTGAGTGGGAGGGTGGGCTTGCCAAAAGAATTACCAACTGCCTTTGAACGTCTCACACCCAAGGATCTGCAAGCCTGTGATGAAGCACCGCGAGCTTCGAGGTGAGGGAAGTTGGAACGCGAGCTTCGCGTGGCGGCCATTTTAGGCTAAGAGGAAAGGGGCTGATTGGTTGGTTCTCTTCGTTTGGTCGTTTGTTGTTTTGACCTATTGTTGCCTTGAGTCCTTTGTTTGTTTGTTCATTTGTTGGTCTGTCTGTCTGTCTGTTTGTCTGTCTGTCTGTTTGTTTGTTTGTTTGTTTGTTTGGCTTGGCTTGGCTTGGCTTGGCTTGGCTTGGCTTGGCTTGGCTTGGCTTGGCTTGGCTTGGCTTGGCTTGGCTTGGCTTGGTCTTGTTTGGTTTGGTTTCGCTTGGTTTGGTTTGGATTGTTGTTTCGCAATCAACTGAACTGTGAATACCAGACTGGGCACAGGCTTGAAGGCTTCTGACTTTGGCATGCGGCAGATCAGATTTACAAAGGGGCGAATGCCCGTGTCGACCAAGACGCTGGGGTGAGGGCAGACCTAGTTTGCTTTGGTTTGTCCCTTCACGGCGAGTACTGCTTTCTGCAAAAAGTACATAGATGACCATCCCACTTACCTCAGAAATGCCACCATTCTTGTGAGACTTAACTGGATAATAGTAGGGGGTGTCCTTTTTGAGGGCACGCCTTGGTGGTTTTGAAAGGACATCAGGAGGAGAGCTGAACCAATTTTTTGGTGGGCCTAAGCATTTTTCGTGGGGTCAGCTGAGTCGTTTCGGTTCCCTTTGCTGGATTTGATTTTGCCCCGGTTTCATGTTCATTTGGGAGCAGGATCAGCTTGGGCTGCAACTTCCCACACAAATGACCACCAATTCAAAGACAGGTGGCGTCCAAGAGGTGTCTTGTTTGAGAGATCCATATGCTGTGGATGCCAGTTTCGGGTCGGGCGAACCGCGCTTGGCATTTTCTTGTGAAGTCCCAACATGTACGTACGTAGTACAAGGGGCATAATCATTGCACACATTATGTGTCTAGGGTCACCACTTTTCTGGGTTTTAAAGAACCCCGCCAGCCGATTCCAACGTTTGGGCCAGGAATGGGTCAAACTTAGTCCCGGCCAGGAACTGGAATGCAGGGTTTAGTCTGTGTTTCTAGTTGCCTGTGTTCAGCTTTGGGTGCCTATTCTTGACCCAGACTCCTGTGCTGTCAGAAGTTCAAAGCCAATTTTCGGGGCAAGCCATGTTCGGCAATTGGATATTCTGCCACGTTGGGTAAGTGACTGCCTGGGTTCTAACCCACTTGAGTCAAGGTTTCCATGTGCCAAACCAACCCATGCTTTCGGTGCGAGGCCTCACGGCGGCGGGGCGCAAGGCCAGGGGTCTGCTGAAGAAGGGCAAGCGTGCCCGGGGACCCGGCGGGTTGTGGGCTGACTTGCTCATGGAACATTTGGGTGTGTCTTGCTTTTCAGGGTACCTTTTTTTGTTGTTTTCTCCCCGGTGGTTTTAAAGTGAACCGAAAGAACTGACACCATTTTTGGGGTCCCTTGAAAAAGAGGCATCTCCGTCTATAGGAGTACCCCTCATTCTTAGACGTGCATATATATATATATATATAGATACACACAGAAGGGGTGCTGCCTGGGATGTAGTTTTAGCGCTGCAAAGCTCAGACAACACTGCGAATACCATGGTTTCGTGCATGTGGCGGTGCTGGCGTCTAGGTGAAACACACGTTTTTGCTTGTGCAAGGCATCTGGTGTCTGCATCTGAGCATCCATCTGGTCAAAAAACAAAAACAACTCGAGGAGAAAAGTCAAGCTGGGAAGTCTTCTGTATATATATATATATATGCACAGTCATACGATGTATCTCGCGGGAATCGCAATGAATTTGGCTGGGCGGTGGCTGAAATCAGCGGCTCCCAAAGCACCTCTGGTGTTTTTGACGCCAGTAAAAAGTGAACTTGACCCCGAACCTTTCTCACGTCGGTTGGGTTTTGATTGGGAAACCAAAGGGACACTCACGATTTTCGAGCCCCCCTCAATTCAGGGACACCCCCCATCTCGGGTCCCTGGGAAGGCCAAGGGTTCTCCACAAGTTCGCCATCAGGTGGACGAAGCAAGACATGGGCAGCGCCCAAAGCCCCATTTACCAGCGAAACGAGGCATTTTCGCCCGAATCCCTGACCAACAAGGTATTCACCGATGCCTCCACCAACGTGGCAAAAGGCTTTTAGGTTCGAGGCAGTGACCCCAAGACTCATTGACCAGCAAAAAACGGGAATCTTGGGCACGAAGCGCCCCTTCAGCATTGACTTTTGGTTTTGGCAGCGTGGTTTACATAGCCGCTAATACAAAGCCCTTGAGGTGAGGTGGCAGAACCACCTACCCCGGTTGTCTTGATCGCCTCCAATCGCCGAAAGCCTGCGAGAAGCTGTGCCCGAGGCAAACAAGCAGCGACCTTCCTCCCGTGCGGTGTACCGCAGGAGCTGAGCTGGGGGATTCGCCAAGTTTCCCAGATCCACCTGAAAACAAGTGGACAAATGTGACGTTTGATTTGATAGTTTCATGATGTGTCATTGTCCACTTCGTGAGATCAAGGGGACCAGTTTGGGGTTCATATTTTGTAAGCAAGCCCACATCCACCTCTTGAGACCGAGATGAGGAGCCTCACAAAAGGTCGCGAAAGATGTATCCCTGTTGTAGAATTAAACCTCCTGTAAGAATGTTCCTCGTACTGGGCAATGCAATATGCGGTGATGTTGGGCAGGATTGACGAGTGACAGACATGGTTGGAATCAAGACATTATTGGTCGGCGTCAAGATCGTCATTTGGGCTTGTGGCTTTCTGAGGGTGACCGTTCACCAGTCCGCGAGTGCGAGATCTTTTGCCTCGTAGGATTGTTCAATATTTGCGACTCGTTAACCTTCCTACTCAGATGTCCGGCCAAGTTAGCAAGCAGTTTGCCACGCGGGTGAGAGAAGAACCCGCCAAACAACAGGATGAACTCCGTTTCGAGAAGGACATACATCTACTATTGTGGAGAAGCAGTTGCAGGACAAGTTTTGCTTAGAGACCCGAAAGGGTGGACATCATTTGGGTGATTCATATCCACCAAGCGCTTAGCTGGTTGTAGACTTTCATTGCAGGTCCGTGGCTCCAAGCACTCAGATGGTTCCAACCACTTTTGTGTGACTTCATCCCCTTCCCCTTCAGCTGATGTAACTGTTATCAGCTCTTAGGTACTGGTGGTGTGGATTGGTGGGAACTGGGGGTGCAACGGGTCCCTGAATTCTTGCAGGTGAATGGGACACCAGTCCACCTCCATGTATGGGTCAAAATTAACTCACTAGGAACCGGACCGCAGGTTTTAGTCCTTTCCATTTACCAGGGCAGGCCATTTTGGGGTACTTATTTTTGACCCACAGCCAAACGATTCGGGCCAAATGTTTGGAGTGGTCCTTTGTAGAAGCCGAAGTGCTCGGTTTAATTTTGGCAACAGACACGGGCTGAAATCCGCCACTCAACACCCCCAATCAAAGGCCTACATCAATTTCCCAAAGGTTTTCCTCGCTCGTCACCATTCGATCCAGGCACAGCCTCATGCGGCTGCGCCGCTACCGCTGAGTGTGGGGGATTCGCCCGCGGGCGAATCGGCGAATCCGCGAATTCGAAGGGTGGCCCGCCGGCAGATTGCACGGCACACAGGTTCTTTGCCAGGGTGGGTTTGTTCATGTCAGTGTATGCTTGCCATCTCTAGTGTGCTGTATGCCGAATGTAATTAAGCTTCATGGACGAGACCTCCCCAAAACAGAAGGAACCATCCCCAGCAAACCTGTACCATGGGCATGAGCAATCAAAGATTTTGTGTAAGAATGAGCAGGGTTGTGGGATCAAGGGGTTTCTCCCCACTTCTGTGATACAAGGGAATCCCCCTTTCTATGAACACAATAGTCTTTGGAAAGCCCTTTCTGTTGTACTTTGAAGGGACATCAATAATAAAAAAAACAGAAGTTTTGGGAGGCCACGGCAAACCAAAGTTTTGGACAAATACCAATTTGCTCATCGACCAGAGTCATTTTGACCGTTGACATCCTCGTTGTGTGCTTCCGCAGGCTCCCAATACGGATCCGTTTTCTGCCAAATTGGCTACAGTTTCATTTGACCACCCCGGCTTCAGAGTGCACAGGGGGGGTCCTTTGGTCCTTTAGTTTTGCTTTTCTAAGACTTCTGCCGCAGGTTCTTTGGAGCATGTCATTTTACTTCCACCCTGTCAAAGCTTGGTCCGTGCGGATCTGTTTGTGGCGGGAGAGTCTGCGAGAGGCTGCGCGGCTGGGCCCCGCACGGGCGAGCCAAGGGCCGAAGTGTAGATGGCTCCAGATCGATTTCGGGGCGTGCATCGCACCTTGAAACAGGTTGTGTCCTGGGGAGATCGACCAATTCCCAAGGACGACGTAGCATTTGTTCAATATCCCCGGACAAACACGTACTCCTTGGATGTTTGGTCAAGTTTGCGGTTAGCCACTTGGGTTAGAACCCGCTAACAGGGTTAGCTCCACTGAAGGGGGACTTATGATTTACTAGTTCCCCATAGCCCGACCCTACTTTTTACGGCCCTCATATGACCAACTTGGCCACGGTTGCCACGGGAAGTGAGAGCTAGACTTTTCCCACAGTGGACACTCTTTTGCCAAGAGCACCAGGGCGTAGCTACATGAATATATTTCTCTGCCAGGCGCCCCTTCTTTCTGAGCAATATGCTGTCCCCCTTGAAGGAACGCACGATTTTGCAACGCCAGCAGGGGAAACCCCAGTTCCGATGTCCGCGATCATTTGCCAGGTAAGAAATTGGAAAGACAGCGCTCAAGGCATATTTTTCAACCAAGCTCAGGCCTAAACATTCCCAACAATGTGCAACATATTTTCTCGCGAGCTCTTCTTTCCATTTTGGGTTCACCATTTTGATGCGAACCCATGTTAGGACCACAGGACACAAATGAAGAAACCTACCTATTTCTAATTCGGTTTCGCCATGTTGACACACACACACACACACCCATGTCGACCCTGGTCAAAACCATCAACGTTGACCTTGCACGTTCCGCGCTCTGGACCGATTCTCCTTTGGCCGAGGGCGCCCCTGCACCACTGCCCCCCCTCCCTCGCCGTCAAAGCCTGACGACTTCGCGGTCTCGTCTTCTCGCGGGGCGGCCTGGGATGGCGATCGTGCCAAAATTTGTTTTCATAAGTTGTTTCTTAGGTCCCGTTTTAATATCAGGATTTCGTCATGCGCGCGTCTTCCCGGTGTCTCCTCGCCTGGGTCACCAGCGATGCCTCTGCTGAGCCAAAAAGTCGGGGTCAGCGGTGGAGCGCGAGAGCTTGAAGGTTTCTCGACGTGGGATGGGGACCCCCTGTTGGTTTTCAAGGGACACCAAAGGAGCACCCCCCCATGAGAAACACCCGCAAGGTGAGTTTTTTTTGCCCACAACAACCACACGTCCAGTGGGTGGCTTTCAGGTTTCTCTTTTCTCCAGAGGGGAGCCCTCCGGTTCCGAATTGGGCTCCCATGCCTATTTAAGCATGGCCTGCCTGGCATCATGTTAGTATTGCTTTGCGGTCGCTGGCTGTCACTTGACGTGCCAAAGGCGGAAGCGGCTCGTTGTTGCCAGGCTCCTGCTTGCCACGTGGTGCGCTCAGAATGTCGAGCTGGTCGTATTGATGATTCTGGGCAAATCAAATCACAACACTCTTCTTGATCGGGGTAAATCGAGCTTGCACAGAATGAGGGCCTGTACTGGGCGCTTCCCCTATTTCTAGTCTAAGAACTGGAGCAATTCCTCCGGAACGCGGGCCTGCAGTCTCGAACAGGCAGGGGTACTTCAGCAGTCCAAGCCACAATGTTTTGTCAAGCGGGGGTGTCAGTCTTTCTGGCAGTGAACAGTTCTCACTCTTGGTTTGCAGCTTCAATCCTATTTGGTCGGTTTGGTTGAAACTAGATGGCACTGGTACTAGGCTCTAGTGATTTTCCAGTGCCAGCTATTTTTCCAAAGGAGCTGTGGCAACGCATGCGTTGCCAAGCAATGCTCTTGCGTGGTTGCCAACTGTCCTTTTGGTTGCTAGCGGTCATGCAAGCGTAACAAGGCACCTTGCTTTACTGGGACTTTCTCTTGACTGCGCGAAATATATATATATATATAGATATATATATATATATATTTAAACTGGTTGCGGAACCCAACCAAAAGGTGACACCCCAGTGTCACATCGCGCGGGCACCTTTTCTGGCTTGACATGTGAAAAGAGTCCCTGCGGTATGTAATGGAAGTCAGGCACTGACTGCAATGGTGCTCATGCACATGCTGCAAATCAACACTGGTTATATTTTCTACGTCTTCAAAAATCAAATGTGATGCCAGGCTGATGTACACACGAGTGAGCTGTCCACAGCTCTGATGCAGCAACCATCCTTGGAGAGACACCATGCAATTGATCCTGATTTCACTCGCGAAGCACACGTGTCTGAGTGGTGCCGGGAATGACCAAACCGAACGATGTACCTTCATTCACGGAATGGTGCATCATGAAATTGCACAGATCCTTGAGGTGGCCTTGAGCTGATTTGGAATGACTCTTGCACCACTTCACGTAGCCAAGGGCCTTGTTGTCCGTGGCCATCACGAGGTCCATGTATGTGACATTCTGGTTCTTGTACTGACCAAAGCAAATCACCGTCTTACCCCAGGTTTCCACATCCAGAATGCCTTCGGGAAAGGGCGGAAGCACGAACCCAGCGACATCTCCAGGGCGACTCGCCTGAGGAAATGGAACCTGAGCCTCATCATCAGAAAGCACGGCATAGGACGGCTGACCTCGATTACGGTCTCCTCCGAGGCCGCTCATGCTCTTAGCCTTGGGCTTGGCCTGGCGCTTGATGCCGGATGGCGTTTCACCACCAGGAAAGTCCTCACGGCGCTTGGAGCCATCGGTCATGGCCCCATACTCCCAGACACTCAATGTCTCACCAGTGAGCGGATCCTGCAAAAGCCCGATGTTGGGATCGTAGCCAGCGAATTCTGCGAACTCATCTGAAGCGTTCGCAGCTTTGGCCTTGGCCAACAAACGGTGCAGCTCCTGGGACTCAGCTGGAGTGAGAGACATGCCTACACTGCGAATGGCAAGGACTGGAAGATCAAATGCTGATTCACTATACAAAAACGGCTGCGGCGTTGTAGTGCAACCTGCGTCACTTCACAAGCCATGGAGGAATTGCTTGGCAAATCTCCAGAAAGCACTGATGGCAAAACATGCACATGCGAGAGGTTGAAAACACAATAGACTGACCTGACACGCATTGCTCGGCAATGGCTACTCAAGAGTAAACCCGTCTATTACTTATTCACTATCCCCTCTATCCCCTTTATCTTGATTACTTGAATCAGTACCCCCTGATTCAACACTAGCCTGGGTGCTCTGTTTGCGATTTTTGGGCACGACGGGCGCGCTCGGCGGCTTGCTGTGCAAGCACATGATCCTCGGGAGAAATTTGGTATGTGCCGGCGCGCACACAGGCTCGAAGCAAATCCACAGGATCCAACTTATCCTTAGTGAGTCCATCCGCAATCATTCGATTGGTGGGTAACCAACGAATCTCAGCTTGCATTAGCTTGAGGGATTCACGAATGATTACAATATCTATGCTAGTTCTGCGATCGTCAACGGCTGTGGGGGATGATGGAGACACTAAATGGTCGAACAAGGACTTGCAATCAGTTGCCAAAATGGCAGGACGACGAGCCAACAAGGTGCGGCCATCACGCGGCAGGAAACTACCATCCAAAGCTTCGGCAAGAAGTAGATTCAGCCACTCAACCGTGCCGGATGCAGTCGCCAAGGCTTGACTTTCACCTCCAAGTGTGGAACTAACCGCTCGTGGAAGTTTATAGCTTTTCCAAACGACTGGGGTCCAAGGAACAACCTTACCATGGTGCATGTCGGCATGAGTGAAGGCAAGAATGTATCCTGCTTGCGTGTGTGAGCCTACATTTGCGAAAGCAGCATCGGAATGGCAACAAACACATAACTTCTCAGGAGGGATCGGCTGGAAGCAAATCTTGAGGTTCTGATGCAGCTTCGCACGACGAACTGCATTGTTGGCATCTCTCAGGTGTTTGATCTGAGGGTTTGGAAATGACTGCTGGGATATGCTGGTCTGCACTGCTAAGTCGGGTCTAGACTGTGATGACAACCAATTGAGAGAGCCGTTGATTGCACGAAGGACCCGCACTTGGCTTTCCGAAAGACGGTCTTCAGAGGACGCTCCCTTAGAAATGGTGGCTGGCCTCAACTTCTGTGCAAACAGACTCTGACTCATGGAGATGCTCTTATTGGGATTCTGAACATAGTAAGAGCCACAGAACTCGCCTTCACCTAGACGCCACTTGCGGTACGGGAATCGAGCTCGCAAGGCCTTCACCGCTGCTTCAAACTTTCCCCCCCGACCCCCTAGAGCAGTATCATCAACATGTACTCCCATGACACCACAAAGACCTTGGTGGTCACGAAGAAAATACAGACAACTGTCGAATTTGGAGCGCTCCCAACCAATCTTGCATGCCTCGGAGTCAAAGGTGCGATGCCATGCGAGCGGGGCATCATTTTGCCCGTAGACATTTCCTAAGACTTCAATCACCGCATCGCGGGGGATTCCAGGGATGCCACCCGCGGGCTGTTTGGCAAACAAAGGTGTGAACTTGGCTGGTAGTGGACCAGCTTCCAAGAAGGCACCCTTGATGTCTCCCAACTGGAGTTCCCATCCATGCGACGCGATCAATTGCATGACCAGCATGCGGCCCATTTGACTGAGCGTGGGTGACTGGAGCATGCCAGCTTCGACCTTCTTGTCCAGGTCAGGGTCCAGGTGCCCCTGAAGGCACCAGCGGCTCTTGACACGGAAGGTGTTCGGATCATCTTCCTGAATGGCCTGATTTTCTTCCATGGCCTTCCTGGTGATCACAAATCTACTTCCCATGAACCGCTCAGGATATTTAAGTTGAAGCTGCTTCGCTCTATGGCCATGGTGAACACGAATTGCCTTCTTGTCAACAAGGGTCTGCCACTCAGCACGTTTGGATTCATCCACAAGAGATTGCAACTCTGGCGCATTCCCGGAAGGTGGCAGCTCTTTGCTGGTCTTCTTCTGAAGATAGTAGGCTACCAGGACCTCGATAGGTGTCTCTGGGTCGAGACAGCCTTGCTCGAGATCCGTTAGACACTCCACAGACAGCGCTTCCTCTGTTCGGACACGGGAACTGGGTGGTTCCTCTGAGGCAGCTCGGAAATCTGGAGCTCTCTTGTTAGGGCTGCTCATGGTGCTATCGGCAGTGGCTTCCTGAAGCAATTGGGGAACAACTTCACGCATCATGTCGACAAAATCCTGTTCACGCATTGCAGGAGGACGGTGCAAAGCATCAGGACCGGTCTTACTCACAATTCTCCTACGAATAGGTCCATAGCTCGGGGCTGAATCCTGATTGGGCAATGATACATTTCCCTGTGACGCAGGCCCTTCCCGAGAACCAGATGAGGGCTCGGGAACAACATCCTCCGACATTGTCGGTGGAACTGCCTCAGTCGCCCCCTGGCCGTCTGACGGACTGTCTTCAGACAGTGGACGGGGCATGACTACCGCGTCGGCTTCTGGGACTACCGGAGTAGGCACAGGATCGTCCTCACTATGCCGATCTGGCTCCGGGGCTACAGGTGGATAGTGACCCGGGACCAAGTCGATGTATAGGTGACTACGGAACGTGCCACCCTCCAGCAGATCTCGGACCCCAAGTAACTCGGCCTGTGGAGTTGTGACCAGGGCCTTTTCTTCGGAAGTGGCTGGACGAAGCTGTTCAGGTGCAACACGGAAAATTTGCCTCCTGTGGGCCACCACGTAGTTTTTCCCAACACTACCGATGACCACTGCGGTACCATACCAACGACCACCTTGGACCACCTTACCTTGTTGTACCTTCTGACTACGCCAATAGGCCACAAGGTCACCTGGATGGAACTGCTGGATGAGTCTCGGACGGGCGGAAAATGCACGTCGCAGCGCTTGGTCATCCTGGGTGGTGATGACTGCATGTCTGGCTGCAGCTCGCACTCGTTGGGATTTTTCAATGGCTTCATTGGACAGCCCCAGGGTTGCAGGTACCACGTGCAATGGCTCATTCATGAGATCAGTGGGGACCTCAGGGTTCTTCCCAAACACGTACTGATGGGGAGTGTAACCATATGATTGAATCATCGAGTTCTTAACATGGGCGTGTGTGACACATTCCTCCCAAGCTTCCTTGGTTTTGGGCAGAGCCTCAGCCAGGGTTCGATCGAGCACTCGTGAGAACCAACCACCATGACTTTCAGTACGGCCCAATTGCCAGTGCGCTTCAGCAGCAATGGGATGAACATGGGAAGCCAGGGATTCCAAGTACTGCTGGAACTCCTCGCTCATATTGGTCTGAGCTTGATCAAGGATGACTTCTTTGGGAGGTCCAAAGATGCGAACCCAGTGATCGGCAAATGCCTGACGAATCACAGCTGACGTTTCCCGACCATGAAAAGGAATCATCAATTGATAACAACTTGCTTGATCCACGATGTTGACAGCCTTGATTTTCTGATTGGGCAACCATCCCTGAAGATTCTTAACATCGACACCTACAGCTTGATTAAACTCTTGCGGTCTTGAAGATTTGGCTGGCAAAGGCACATGGGGTCTGATCTGTGACTTGCAAAACTCGCACTCATGCTTGCGTGCCAGCTGAATGGCCCGGTCAGAGGCATGGGCATGCTTGAAAATCCGGATCAAGTCACTACCTGGAGGGTGTCCTAGGTTCCTATGCACCTTGTCAATTACCTTCATTAGTTCTTCATCAGTCTTACTATCTGACAGCTCAGGTTTGGCGGCCAACACCTCATGCTCCTGACGACACGTCCAGTCATGGCACACAGCAAGGCACTGATTCTTAAGCGCAACATAGCTGGGCAAAGTGTCCAAGACTGCCTCCACAAACTGTGGAGTGTACTTCCCGGCGAAAGTGCTGATGGGGCCTACCACTGGGTCCGAACCCGCCACAATTTGATGGCACTGGTGCTTGACATGCTGCGTGCCAGGGCATCGCTTTGCTAGAGTCTTCATTTCTTCATGAGTAACCAGCAATTGAGTGGACTTGCGAATGAGCTTTTCACTACGGGGAACTCGGAGTCCAAAACGGCACATATCACAAGTGATCACATGATGCTGGTCCATCAAAGCACGTACCTCTGGATAGGTCCACAGCCGGGACGACTTGGGATGTTCAAACAAGGCTCTACGACCGGCTTCAACTTGTTGCTGATACAACCGGCAGCAAAACCTGATAAACATGCGGCTCTGCTGTACCCTGCGTGCATATTCTTGCGGGCTCAGATAGATTGAGTTGAGATTAAACCAACCACCTTCATCCGTGCACGGTGGACACACAATCAACAGGTCAGGTGGACATGCACGCAGTTCCTCCGCAACTGCATCCCGAGTGGCGGCCTGAGTGAAATCATACCCTGTTTTGATATCATAAGACCTGCAACTGCCTCCGACTCCCTCAACAAGTGGTGAGAACCTAGGAGGACAAAACACTTCGGCCACAAGAAATGGCTTCCCATCACATTTGGATGACTTCACCTCGGGCTTACGGATCTGCGAAGCGAGTTGTCTCACAAAATGCACAGGCATGGCTTCGATGGGTCGAGTGATCTCCTGCGGGGCGAAATGAAACTCTGTGGTAACATGCATCACATGGGCAGGAAGGGTCCGTTGATATCGCTGTTTGCCTATCCTAGGAGATATGACATCATCAAACAACACTGCACCTGTATCTTGGTCTAACACTCGGCGGCGCCTAACGGTCTGCCACAGGGGACCTTGTTTACCAGTGCTGGGAACCTGAGACACAAATGAGTCATGACGGCACCACACTTGCAGCTCACAGGGCTCTCCTGGAACTTCTGAGACCATTTCCTGCGGGATCTGAGCATCAGAAGACACAGCGATGGCTTCTGCTGGAGGCGCAGCTGCGCCAAGCTCAGCAGTGGACTCCACCTCAGGGTCATCTTTGACTGACATCATCACCTCGGCAAATGATACAGACTGTTTCTCCGGTTGGTGATCCAGCACATTGATGACATACTGTCCGGCAGCATTAGTAGTCATGGGGACAACCAGCTGATCCTCAAACAGAGACATCTCGTTTGTGCCGAAATTCACGACTGCTTGCAGGGTCTGCAGGGCACTCCTGGAAATCAACAGAGGGGCAGCTCCCTTGACGATGGCCGCCTTGATGATACCGGTACGCCCAGCAATAATGACCGGCAGTTTTACCGAAGTGTCAGTGGATTCCCGTTGTCCATTCCCGAACTTGAAGTGATTCACCTCGGGAACATAGACAGGTTCAGGGATTCCATGATCATGCCACAGCTTCTTGAAATCTCGAAGTGTCTCTTGCCCGATGATTGTACGACCACATCCGGAATCAATAACCCCGTACCCAGGTGAGCTGACCAACAGCACTTCCGATGATGGGCAGGGTGGCACGGTTGAATGCTGTACCTGATCAGGAATAGCGACGAGCTTCCCTTGGCGCAGGCGACGCACTTGTTCCAGAAGCGTCTCATCAGGGTCATACACTCCGGAGCTCGACCACTCGACTGCAGCTACAAAGGTCTCCTCAAAGGATTGGACAAAAGCGGCTCCGGATTCACTGCCTTTGCCGCTAGATGCGGCACCGCCGCCACGTCCACGACCTTTTCCAGATTTGCATTCCCGTGACCAGTGGCCGACTTGCTGACACTTGTGGCATCGCGTCTTGCGCTTGAGCTCCTCGATCTCAACCCGATAACTCCGTTTGAGATCTTGGGCTGCACCAAACCGACGCGAGCGTTGCAGCTTGTTCAATTCTTTCCTCTTGTCTTTCCACGACACGGCCAGAGCTTCCGCAACCTCGTTCTCATCGAAGATCTCATCGGGCTCTTCCCTGGATGCTGGTTCGAACTCGGCCAAGAAGGCCTCCATTTCCTCGACAAGTGGATCCGACTCATCGGCTAGTGCATCATCAGGCAGATCACCAGACTCAACAAGACCGGCGCCGACACTGCGTCGCTTGGCAACGACATAGTCAGGATAGCAGGACCGCATGGCTTTTCCGACATCCTCGCGTTTCAGAGAGCCATTGCTGCGGGCCAGGACAACTGCCTTCTGCTCCTCATTGAGACTAGACCGGTTGAGAATCAGCCAACCGCGTGCTTCCTCAGGAAAAGTCACCTTGCACTTCCGATGGCAACTGTCGAAAAGTTCGCCAGCACGTGCAATCCAGACCTTGAGAGACTCTCCTTCCTGAGCTTTGAGGCCGAACACGGCGGTGAGAGTCTCTGACATCTCATCGGAGACATCCTTCTGCGGGAAGCGGGCATCTAAAATCCGAAAAATCACCTGCTCGCCACCCTTCTTCTGATACTCCTCCGGTTCCAGATGTTCAATGCTCTCGAGGGCCTTACCAGATAGCAAGGTGTACACATACGCGCCCCTTGCTGCTTCCGGCACTTTGGTGTCCAGGGTCAGCAACTTGTTGGATACCCAGGTTTTCCACCGCTTATATTCCCGAGCATCTTCAGTCTCACCTGAGAAAACCTTGGGTGCGACATCCGTCGCGGATGCACCAGCCATGGCGCTCATGCACAGCTACGAAACCAATGCTTCCTAGCACTGGAGCCTCCGTAGAGGCTCCGCTACCAGTATTTAAACTGGTTGCGGAACCCAACCAAAAGGTGACACCCCAGTGTCACATCGCGCGGGCACCTTTTCTGGCTTGACATGTGAAAAGAGTCCCTGCGGTATGTAATGGAAGTCAGGCACTGACTGCAATGGTGCTCATGCACATGCTGCAAATCAACATATATATATATATAATTGGGTGACTGTCATGAGACACCCATCCCGGTGTTTGGTTTCCTTTGGCTTCCGCCAAGACACCTTCCATTTTCTTATCAGAAAACCACTAACATGGCACTTGACAGGGGGTCCCTTGAAGCGGAAAGTGATCTTCCCGGTACCCTCCCACAAATGGCTTCTGCTAGTGGGAGGAAGGGTAAAACATATTTTTAAGTTGGAGACACACCCACTTTAGCAAGTAAAGCGCTGCCTCGTCGGGACCCAGACGGCTTCACGCCTGTGATCTTTTAAACTTGACAACATTTGGGTACCAATTTACAACATTCTTTTTACAACATGTTTGATTTGAAGGTCGGATCGATCCCAATTGTACAAGTTTTAAAAGGTCGGATCCCTCAACAAATTTTAAAAGGTCGGATCCCCCAACATTTTACACATTTACGACATTTTGGGTTTGAAGCGGAACCCACAAGGAAACCAATCACTGGGGAGATGGCCTCAGGTTACTCCACCTCACACGCGGCTTTGGGTTGGCGCCCCAGTGCCTGGGAACCAGTTGGAAAGTTCTGGCCGCTAGCTTGTGCTTTCATCCACCCCAAGAAGGCCATTATAGTAGTAATAACGATGACTAAGTACCATCTTTAGTAGTAATAAGACTAGTAGTAATAATGACTTAAGTTGGTTGTAGTAGTACTAATGACTAAGTACCTACCCCAGAACCAGCCAGGGGGGTACTTGGCTCCCTGGTCCTTTGATCTCGATTTTCGGGTCGACACAAAGCGCACGCCCAAAGGCGTCGGCAAATTGTGTAACTCAGTGCGATCTATGAGTCGGATTGGAATTCATTTCGGACTCGGAAGGAGAGACGGGAGCCCCTTTTCACTCTACCTGTAGGGTTGCTCTGAGTTGAGAGACGACCAATCCCCGGGTAGACATTACTTGGTTCATGTGAATCATTGTGCCAGGGTTTTAAGATCATACGGGTGTGGTTCCCTTGTTTCAGGGTAGCCCATTGGGATTTGGATTCAGAGGATAACCAAAGGCAAACCACTCATTTTGAGGGTCCCCAATTCTGCCCCACACATACCCACACAACCCTGCTGAAGTGCTAGCTTCCGCTTGGTTTACCAAGCTCGTCAATCAAGACCTTTTCAAAAAAAGGAAAAAACAAAGCAAAGCACATTCAAGTATCTTTTTTTCTGCGGAATTCTCCTCCGGCCCAAATTTTTCGGGATTTGTTCTTGTTCCAGTCATCTGCCTATGGATGGGCTCTCCCATGCCTCGGGTTCGGTTTCCCAGAGCCCCAGTTCTTCAGTGGTTTGCTTTTGCGGTGGCTTTTCATTTTCAAAAAAGGCAGTCCAAACAAGGGCTGAATCACTGCCAACACTTCAAACCACCATCCCAAATATAAAAAAAGTGGTTGTTCACCTGGATTGAAATATAGCAGCTTCTTCCCAGCTCGGCAAGTGCGTAATCATGGACCAAATGGGCCGAGTTGCTCCATTCACCCGAGGTTTTTGTTGGGGGGGCCCAGGCCAAACGCCCCGAGCCTCGGGTTCAGGCCGGTGCGCCTGAACTTCGGCCCGCCGGATCTGGTCGTCGACACATGGGAGGCCGAGCATCTTCAGGGAAACAGCCATGCGGGCTTCTTCCTATTTATGCGTCGAAATGGAACATGTTTTTTTTGTCCTTGAAATGGAAAATGGTGTTTCTCCTTTTGGGTCCTTTTTGGTTTCAACAGGAGGAGCCCTGTTTCTTCCAACCAGCGATTTGGTCCAATCCAGTGGTTGCGGAACGGAAGTTGCTGGCTTCGCATTCCAGGGGAGTTTTCTGAGCTGCCTGGGAGGTGTGGTGGATTGGCTTGTATGCGTGGTTTGGATTTGTGTTCTTGAGGTCTGTTTTTAAAAGAGGGGCCCTGAAAGGATGAATTGGGGCAGACAAAAAAAACACCATGACTAGGTCCCCCAGTAGTGCCCTTCTCTCCCCCTTTTTTGGGGGAGGGTTCGCCCACTAAAATAGACAACAGAAAAATAATGGGTACGAGCTTATTCTAATCTCTCAAATCTGGAGCACCTGGATGACCAGCTGATTTAAGATTTAGATCCAAGTACTTGCAAAGCAGGTGGTCGGAACCCGATTAAAACCCCTCAGTCACTGGCCCGGCCCTTCCGGAGAGGCCGCCTTTGGTCTGGTGCAAGGCACACCCTTCCTGCAGCTGTCGGGGTGCCCGGCAAAGAGGAAGATGGCAGGTTCCAGGGTCGGCGTCCGCCAAAAGGGGCCAGAAGTGGTCAACCATCTTTTTGTTTTATGTGGATTATGACCATGCCAACAAGCTGGCGAACTTCTTTTTTGTTTTGTTTTAAAGCTTCCAAGTACCCTGGAACCCCGACAAAGAACAACAACTCATCCTACCAAGAGTTCCTTTCATAGTGTCCTTTTCCAAGCCGCACGTACCGCAACAGCCGCGTTGCAAAAGGACAGTGAGCCTCACTTGAGCGCATTCCAACCACAAACTTTGTGTCGACGCATGTTTCCCTAGCACAAGAACATTGGGGGAGGCTGCGTGAGTAGAGCAGATGCAAGTGGGCTGAGCGCAATCCAGTGGTACCCCTACTCCTAATACCCGCTTCTTTCAGGCTATGGCCGGGTATGATGGCAAACCCTGTCTGAAAAAGGATGTGCGAAACCAAAGACCAACGACGGTAGGGACTTGCATCCTGCGGACTTGCAGAGACCCGGACCTGATTTCGGGTCCTTCAATGGTTTTGTGGTTGAGCAGTGGTTTACTTGCGACATGGTATTCACTGTACCACTGGTTCATAGCAAGGGGGCATAGGAGGGCGGCCCTGGTCCTATGGTGCTTATGCTTGGCTGCGGCTTCCCGGGCGCGCCTCTAAGCTACTCGAAGTGTCTGAAGCTTGTTTTGACAGGTATACCCCCGTAACCTCCAAGAATATCTGTTTTTTTCAGTTGGTATGTTTGGGAAAACCTGGTTTTCCATGGTAGCTACCTCCTTTTTTAGCAGAGGGCTGACATCATAGCCTGAAAAAGCGGTATTTGAGCAGGGGGTAGCTTCATTAGCTTAATATGACTCACTCCACTCACCAACACGCATTGAGCCATATAGCATTTCTCAATGCAGGTCGATGTGTTCTTGCCAAGTGGGAAGCGCTGCTCTGTGTCTCTGACTCCAGAGTCGAGCATCCATGAGCTGAAGGCTGAGGCACAGCAGCAATTCAAGCGTCGCTTCCTGAGGTTTACCTTTAAAGGGCAGCAGCTAGATTCGTCCTCTACGTTGAGTGAGGTGGGCCTGCGAGATGGGGACAGCATTCAGGCAATCGTGCATCCAGTGAAGATCGCTTCTTCAAAGGCGATCTCTTGCTCGGAGCTCCTGATTGAGGAGTGCAGCGATGGGTGGGTGTCCAGAACATCCAAGCAACTAACGCTGCTTTTGCCGCCATCCTGGCCGACGGCTCCGTGGGTGACTTGGGGCTCTTTTGGCAGCGGCGGTGACAGCAGCCGGGTGCGAGAGCAGTTGGAGCAACTAACACTGCTTTTGCGGCCATTCTGGGCGATGGCTTTGTTGTGACTTGGGGCTTTCCTGGATATGGCGGCGACAGGTCAAACAGATCCAAGCAACTCACGATGCTTTTGCTGCCATTCTCTGTGGTGACTTGGGGCGCTCCTGGCCAGCAGCCAGGTGCGAGAGCGGTTGGTGCAGATCCAAGCAACCATGAATGCTTTTGCAGCCATCCTGGACGGGGCAGCTCCCAGCATGGTGGCGACAGCAGCAAGACTTAGTCTCAACTGGACTGGTTGTGAACTTGTTTCTGCGGGTTATATTGTTTCTTCTCGTTTGCTCCTTTCCGTTGGCTCCTGCGGATGCATTCAACTTCCAGTGTTGCCTGTGTCACCCTCAAAATTAGTATTATACTTAGGCCCTTAAAGTACCATGATGGCGACTCCCGATCCAATTCACAGAACATGCAGAACCAGACCCTAGCCTGAAACAAGTCAGCGATAAACAAGACTGCTTGGAGCATGTTTTGTCAAGAGGTTGGCCCAAGTCGTGTAAAGTTGACCCTTTTGCCTTTGGCACCCAAACAGAATCAGTTGGAGCACTTTAAAAGGGGTCTCCTGGATTCGTGCAGCCTCACCTTGTGGTGTTCGAACATCTCAACCCGAAAAGCAGTGCGCTTCTGACCGTCCTCACGTATCCGAACGTGATTGCGGGAAGTAGCTTATGAGGCAGTTTCAGACGAAAAGATGGAGGCGAACTGCAGAAGGATGGAAGATGATGCTTTGGAGTGTGGCGAGGGCTTGTTTCAATCTCCGGGCCAAAAGCTCCACCGCAAGAGCTGGCGCGTGCCAGCTCTGAAGAGCTTCGCTTAAAGAAAACCAAATGGAGACGCAGAGAGGCCTAGCGTCCTTTTCTCTTTGCTCGGTCCATGTCTCAAGATGAACACGGGACATGTTTACATCCCAGATATAGGGTTGGCCGATGACCCAGATTGCGATCCCGGCAAAGTCGAGCCTGGATTGGGAGGGGAAAGGGTTTGACGAAACACGATGCATCTCTTCCGAAAAGCTGGATGCGTCCAAATGCAGACGCCCCAAATTTTGGCGCAGTGTTGAACGCCAAACAGAAACCAAGCACTTGCGAGGGCTCGATTTCTGGCTTTGACCTAAGTTTGTGAAATTTCGCTCGGGTCGTTTCAACCTGATTCGGCTTCCTTTGGAGAGGGGGTGTGTAAAGAAAAGCTATGAAAGCAACACGGGAGAAACTCGGGAGCAGAAGTCTTCGGTGAAAGGTAACTTTAGCCGATGCATTGAGGGACATGGGAGTTACTCAATGTCTCGCCAGATTAACATTTACCGTATCCAACAAAATGGTCCCGACTATTGTCCCTGTGTTTTCTCGCAAAAACACAGGTTCGGTTGGTAGGGATGGTCATGCATCTCTTAGGTGTCTTACTCCCTGAGTTCACGAACTTGGAAGATCAATTTAGTGGTAGATAAAAGTTTGGACATTTCTTGGCCAACCCACTCAGGAAGTGAGGTGTTGACGAATGAACAGGTTCATGGCAAGCAGGATTGATTTTTGATCATCGCGTGTAAGAGCCAGGGGGGCGACCAATAAAACAACTCCTCTGTCACGCGCTTGGGGTTGAAGCTTTTTCCTCAGAAAGCAGATGTTTCGGCTTGTTGCATGTGGAGGCCGCCTCTTTCTCTTCAACAGGGCTACCCTCCAAACAAATAGGGGTCTTTTTGGATCTCTCGCGGGCCAAGGGGGATCGGCTCCCTTTGCAGTCTTTTGGCGAGGCTTCACAAAGCGGTTTGGTCTTTGGCGTGACTTCACAAAGGTTCCTTGACCCTTTGAGCACACTAATTTTGTTTTAAACATATTTCCCATTAAACCTACCAAAGGCCCTACAACCTTTTTTGGCACCCCAGGACCAACCTGGTTCCCCCCGTCTTCGGCTTCTGGGGCGGCGACTACACAGGCTCGCGATGTTCTGACGGACGGAAGCACGAGCGGCCCGGAAAGTTTTGTTTCCGTGGCACATGATTCGGCACATTGAATGGCCCGTTTGACCAAGCAGATGAAGAAAGCGGAGAAGCTGGGCGCCAGTCAAAAAACGCTTCTTGGGCCACCAACACCCCCAAAGCCAGGGGGGAACCGGACGTTTCCTCCTGGAAAGTGGAGAAGGTCTTTCTTTCCTCTGGGCGGGGTCTAACCCCTCACCCAGAACCAATCTTTTCAAACGGCGCCGAGCCTTCCTCCACACAGGGCGAAAGCAGACATCCCAACCTTGGGGGAGGGGTGCGAATTGTTCGACGTCACGGTGGGGAGTCTCATGGCCTCCAGCCACCTCGCGGTCGGTGGTCGGTGTTTTTTTGTGAAAAGTTTTGGTCTTCGGACCTTGGAGAGCACTTCCGTGGCATCAAAGGATTCCTTTTCCGTCCTGGCGTTTCTGAAATCAGAGATGGGTGGTGTGGAGAAGGAGCTACATGATCCTCCATAATCACACGCACAACTTCAGGTTCCCTGATATGTCATTCAAGGGTTTCTTTGAATCTCAAGTGTCGGTTCCATAAAGTGTCATAAGGGGTTTTGTGGTAACTTCCAGTTTAAGTTTCATTACATTTCATGAAAGGGTTTGTGTAAGCTTCAAGTTTCAAGTTCATTCTATGGGTGACCTTGTGCTCAAAGTTGCTCGACCTTGCTCGACCTACCGTGGACCATTTGCCAAAGCGCATGGATCTGCCGTTTCAAGCCGCAACTGTTGAAAGGGGCTATTCACGTGGTTGATGGCCCAGGCATTCGGTTCCTGAGGTCTCTCGTTTTGTTGGGTTGAGTGGCTGGGTTGGTGGTTGGTGGTTGGTGGTTGGTGGTTGGTGGTTGGTGGTTGGTTTCTGATTTTATGGCTGGGTTTCTGATTTTAACCCGCAAGTTATCGTCACTTTCAGAGCAAGCGGACAGCCCAGCTCAGAGCTCACAGGTCTTCGAGGTTTTCGCGAGACACCTCCCCAGAGGCACGGTGCACAATGCGTCGGACGCCACCTCCGACGGCAGCTTCAGCGTGCTTCCATCCGGGGCGTGCGCCCGGGCATGCTGGAGGGTGGGAAGGAAAGGGGACCCTCCATTCGGGTGTCCGTTTGGTTGAGGGGACCCTTTAAAGGGTTGCTGAACCAACATGTGGGGCGGCACCCGAAAATAGGAGACTCCAAGGGCCTTTCCTACACTAGGGCATCCCGACGGGGGCTGAGGATCAAAAGGCGCGTAGCTGAAGCATCGTATTTTTGTGAACCCCTAGGGGGTTGGGTTAGGATCCTAGAGGGGTGGCCCTGGCCGGGAAGCCAATTGAGCAAGCAAAACCTTTGGTTGAATAGCAGCGGGGTGTCATATTCTTTTGGGGGGAGTCCTTCACTTTCAATGGGGAACCCTTTTCATGTGCCAAGTGTATGAATGTGTGTCTCTTGTTTTCTCTTTTTGTTTTGTTGGGGGAGGGGGGGAGGGGGGATAAACATCACTTTTTGGTTGCCGCTTTTGGCAGATGTTTTTCGGGTTGGGCATGTAGAGGATGATGTTTTTCGGTTGAGTATACCGCTGGAGTCCGATTCTGCCCGCATGGATTCGGCATGCGATCGTTTTCGTGTCAGGTATCTCTGCCTCATGTCAGTGCCTGTGGGCAGCTACACTTTGGAGGCGGTGGGTTGAGGAAACCTATGCTTCCATTTGCTTAAGAACATTTTTTCCCCCTGCTGGGTTTAAAGGGAATTTATCACTACTGGAAATATAATTATTTTTTCCAGTGGACTCTGGCAAATGGAAGTATGGCAAGCACTGAGTGAGGGCCTTGGGACGTTCACGCGGAAAGCGAAGGTCATATGTGCGTGTTGGGAATTCCACACCTTCTGTTTGACTCAGCAAGGGTTTCTGGACCACTCACTCCCTGAGTTCAGGGACTTTCAACTTTTTGGAAAGACAATTTTAGAGGTAAGCAACAAGTTTTTGTTTTTTTGTCTGGCCAATCCACTCAGGAAGTGAGACCAGGGACCGCAACATGCGAACATTGATGTGCCAGTTGCTGCAGTCAGATCTGTGCCGTTCCGGGACTTTTCAAGCAACTCCCATGCAAACGAAGAAACCCCAAACCGGGGGTCCAAAGAAGATTCCGATTGGGTTCCTGACTGATGGATATCCACTTCGCATCAGTTGGTCGCGGTGTATCCGTTTGTCTTCTTCTTTTTTCTTCGTTTCATTCATTCCGACTGGTGCCTCGAGCTCAGAGGGCCGATCTCCGGGGCTGACTTGGAGCAGCAAACATGGTCAACAGAAAAGTACAAAAGGAACAAATGAGAAAGGCCGTTTTCCTTCTGGGCTTTCTTTAAGCAAAACGCAAAAGACGGGTACCCTCAAAAACGTCACCCCACATATTCACGAATTCTTGGCTGGGAACTTCCCTTGGTGCTCTGGCTGTCCGCCAGGTCGCCGTGGGTGATCTGCTTGGGCCCGGGGCCCAGAAAGACGACTCCAGCGGGAAGCCCGTTCTTGGAATCGGTCTCCAGGTGGTGTTCCTGTCTGGCGGTGGCCCAAAAAAGACCGGAAATTTCCACCATGGCCTGCCCGATCGGTAAGTGGAGACATGGGTACCAAGACCTGCGGTTTGATCTGAGTCCCTGAGCCCCCTGAGTCCGTTTTGACCCACAAGCCCAGTTTTGGGGGGCATGTTTTCGGGTGAAGGCGCAGAAACGAACGAGCCAGAGACCGACCCCAAAAAAAAGCCGGAGGGCCTGGGCTGGTGGACTGCTCTGCCGGGTTTTTTTGTGCATGGGTCAACATGTCCGGATTTGTCTATGGTCCATTTTGGAGGCCTCGCGAAAGAGATCACAGGATTCAGATTTGTTGCAGAGGACCAGTTGAGTCACAAGCAAAACCTAGGTAATTGGAGGGCCAGGGGCAATCCCAGCCAGATCGGCGTGCGGAGGTCCGCCTTCTCAATTCTTGAAGCATGGTTCTGGGTAGCCCATGTTAATACCAGGTTTGATTATGATTCAATACGAAAACAAGTTCTCGCAAATCGGCCTTGGCCGAAGTTTTCCCCGAGCAATGCCACGTCTAGCAAAGAGCTCATCAGAATGGACTTGGGGGCCGCTCAGTGACTGATACAGCCAGGCCCTGGTTATAACCCGCTTGTTCTGCAAGTGGGTTATGACTCCAGGCTCAACCACTTGCTATGTGCCCAGCCCCTTCAAACATGCATGGGAAGGTTGACATCATCCTTTCCTCACCAAGAGTAGGCAACCCACGGGTGATTTCCATGAGGCAACTTGCGAGAGCGCCGCAGATGCTGGAACCAAACTGGCCGAAAACTTGGCGGGACGTGCCGAATTCCCAATTCAGGCTGATTCACTCACTGTGTTGGACCTCCCCAGTTTCATTTTGGGTGTTGGTGAGGGGAAATCGTCAGCTTTCCTCCAGTTCGGCCGAGTTTTCTGCCAGATTTCCCGGCGTATTTCTTGCTGCCCACATGCTCTCCAAGCATTGCCTTCCCAAATCCTCTTTTCCCCAAAAAATAGCAAAAATCAAAAACAAGTGGTTTCTTTGCAAAGCATCGAGTGGGATGGACGGATCTGAGAGCCAGGTCTGCTTCCTCATGCCTGGAGCTAGAGAGCGGCCGGGGGCCCGGCCATGGATTGGGTAAGGTTGCCCTTCGCTGGGGTAACCAAAGGCATCGGGGGGTTCTCATTCCCTTTTGGCAAACCTCCGGCCGAAAGGGCTGCACACCATGCTCGTTTTTTGGGGGAAGAACCCCCCCAATGTACCTTTCTAGGGGGCCTCCAAAGAGAGATTTTTCTTTAAGCATGTGGCGCTCTTGGCGCCCAACACCTCTGGCGCCCCTTCCAAAAGCGTCCACCCCAGCCGACGTTGAGGCGCCAAGATCTACGAAGGCAGCGCCGCTGTTGGCGCCATCGAGCGCGCCTCCGCGGTGGTGCAGAAGGAGGCCGCCAGCTTCGCCGTGCTTTTTTTTTTTTTTTAAATTTAAGGTTCGTTTTTTGGTGTGGGGGGCTGCAAACAATAAGGTTTTTTGATGAAATTTGTTTTTCTGTTCGTTTTTGGGTTTGGGGGCTGGAAACAATAGAATCGGGGTTTTGCAAGCCCATACCAAGTGTTTTTACCATCCATGGGTTTTCGATTTATTCTTACTGTATGTTTTTTAAGACTTTTGAAATGTGCATTTTCATTTACTCTAAAAGCAACATTATATTTGCTAGCCCGTTAGTATATCTGGCTCACAGATTCTGGGGTAAAGTATCCTTTCTTGGGGCTTGCTTAGTGAATGAACGATAATTCTCCAAGAATGGTACGCAAACTCCATAAACATCCCGCACCCCCCCAAATTATTTCCCTAAATCCCCAACCTCCCGTCTAAATCCCCTAACTCCCCTAGCCTGCCCTTCAATCTCCCTCAAAGTCCCCTAACCTCCCCTAAAGTCCCCCCCACATCCCCCCAAATCCATCCAAGTCCCCCCCAAAATCCATCAAAGTCCACCCAAAATCCCACCCACCACCCATCGGCGCAGACCCGCCCCCCCCGCGTTCACCGCTTCGCGGACGCTCGCCGCCAGAGCCTGGGCGCCTGCCTCACGCTGCGCGCCTGCGCCGACGCCGTGGTGAACTCCTGGGAGGCTCGGAGGGACTTTCACGGCAAACCCCCCGCCTGGATCGCCAGTGGCGTTTTTTCCCATGCACTTTACCCCAGGTCTGATCTTTTCTTGGTGGGGATCGCGGGGGCAGGGGGGGAACGGGGTGGGGGGTGCGGAAACCCCACCTGGATCGCCAGATGTTGCTTTTTTTTCTCCCCCTTGCACTTTACCCCAAAAACCAGCAACAGTGAGTGAAACAAGCAGCAACTTGGCCATGGAGTGGTGGTCTGATTTCAATTTCGGTGGGGCCCGGGGGGGAAGAAGGGGTGGGGGGTTTTGGGGTCACCCTTGATGGGTGATTTGGAGCCCGGCGGTTTGGAGTTGGATTTGAAGGCGTCCCGTGTTCTTGCAGAGATGGCAAACCACCAAACCACCGGGCTCACGAATCACAAATTGGAAGGACGCTGACTTTTCCCCTTTGGGTTTTCCATTGTTTCGGCAACCTTTTTAGTGGCCCCGAAAGGTGCTCGCCTTTTTTGTTTCTGTGTCCGAACTGAGCAACTGAGGAGGCCGTTGAGCAACGCCACTTCGCTGGTTTTGGTTGTTCTAAATGGCCATGAATGTTTAGTTGGTGGACATGAATCCCCAAAAATGATGCCCACCAAGACCATTGTTGAAATTCAGACCCATGTGGGTCTGTCATTTTTTGTTTCGAAAGGTACCCTGTTTGGGGATGGTTGAACTGGAAACCAAACGGCTACCAGCGATTTTGGGGTACTGTATCCCTATTTCGACACATGCCCATGTCTTGCAGTGCCTCCCGCCTTCGTCAAAGGCTGAATGTGTACATATATATATATATATATATATATACAAGAACCCCTAGTTTGAGGCTCAATTAACCGTTAGTTGTTATGGCTCAATTCTGGGAATCAGTCCGCAAAGGGTCCAACATGGCCATGGGTTCACATATGGACCCAGACAACTAGGCTTTGACTTAGGTGACCGGTGGTGGTTGCATTTGCTCGGTTCCTTTTCCCCCGAAACGTGTAGGCAATGCCTCCGGGCAATCGACTGAAGGGCAGGTTTCCTTGGATGTGCGTGGCCAAGTTAAGTGGTTTGCCACTGAGGGCTACCCACTAGAAGGACGTATTTTCGCCACTTGAGTGAGAAAGCCCCCCCGATGAGGTTAGTTGACTCCACTGAAAAGCCAGGAAGTGAAACCCCACCAAGAAGGTTGAGAGGAGTTGCCTCTCGAGCTGCTCGTTCCATAAGAATGCTTAGCGGCCTCTGAGGAATTTTCAATGCGTGCATCCTGTGGCGCATTTGTGTATTGTCGTGCACTTGGAGATGAACAACTTTTCCCGATGGAGATGGATTTGGTCATGCGCATGGCAGATGTCATTCATGTCTCCTGGCGGGAAAAGCCGACTCTGGGCTGGACTTTGGGCCCAACCGCATGCTCCAGAAAAGCCAAGCATGGCTCACAGAATCTGAAGCTGTGGGGGGTCAGCGTGACGCTGCGACAACTTTCTGTGGATGGACAAAGTCCATGCCAGACAACAAGGGAACAATGAGATTCTAAGATAGTTTCCACTAAACCACTGGCTAAAACAAGTGGCTGTCGCGTAAACCATCTTGGAAAACAAAACAACCATAGACGAAAAGGGTGCTTGTCATCTTTTGATTCTACCATTTCCTTTCAAAGAAAAGGAAAAACACCAATTTCAAGGGACCCAAGAGAGGACACACGAGGACAGTTCCACTTTCCGTCGCCGCCCAGGTCTCGCAAATCGCCTGCCACAGCAGCTGCGGCTTCTGCAGCGGCACGCCCCTGGACCCAGAGAGACCGACGGAGCGAGCGAAGTTCAAGGTCCTTGGGGCCTCGGGGCCCCAATTTTCGATCTTCGCAGCTTTTTTCTTCTTTTTCCTGGAAGCTTGCTTATCAAGGAGGTTGTGGTTGCAGCTTCTTGCAGCAACATCCCAGGCTTTGGTCTGGGGGTTCCTCTTCTTGGTTTTGGAGTCACAACATCCGGGTGCGATCGATCGAATGGGGTCGTGATGCGGGTAGTAGCCTCCTGTTTATCACATGGTCTAAGTGGGAGAACTGGGACACATGCGGGCGAAGCCCAACTTGGCCAGAGTGGGCTGGGCATTTCAATAGCTTCCCCTGCTATCCCTCAGGTGCCCATGGACCCTGTTAGTGGGTTACCCGTCCAACGTTCTCCATTCGATGGAAAGGTGGGGACAACTTCGCGAACTTGTAGCAGTCTTGTTTGTACCATGGGTCTGTGCGAAAAGTGGGGGACCCCGCTTGGTTTTGAGGAAACATGAAGCGAATGAACCTTTCGTGCAGGAAGCCGCTACGTTCTGAATCCTCGCCCTTAAGGAAGCCGACTGGTTGAATTTGAAGCTCCAACGAAGCAGTTCTAGGATCCAGGTTGGGCAACCCTCTACTGTTCGGCCAAGTTAGCGTTGGTAAACCCCCTCAGTCCCGCCAAGTGGAGTCAAGCCTATAAGTGGGTTCTTTGTCCTAGTGCCACTAACTTGGCTGACGCAAGAAATGAGGCCAACTGACGTTGGCATTCTCTTGGCGTTTGCCCAACTGCAGCTTCGGTGACAACCTGTGAATCCAAAGACTGCTCACATTGACTGTGCTCATTTCCCATTGCAGACACCCGGCTGCGAGAGGTGGCTTACAGTTGAACCTGCACTCGTTCTTGCTGCTGTTTGGTTCGACATTTTTGCTCTTTGTCTTTTCCTGTGTTTCGTGTCCCTTTGAAACAATCCAGACTTGGTTTGGCTTCTTGGTTTGACTTCTTGGTTTGACTTGCTGTCTTGAGCTTGCTGCTCGACTTTGCTCATTGAACATCACTGCTTTCCCACTAACCAGCAAGCATATGATCTCTGCAGGTCAGTTGGACCAACAGTGTCTATTCTCACACCATGACAATGAGCCTACTATTCCGCTGTGAATCAGCCAGGGGTTTAGGGGCGTATGAGTCCTGGATTCTCATTACAGGCAGACCCACATCTTTTTCCATTGAGCCCCTTCTATAAGTTTCCTTCCGAACCTCTCCTGTGGCACTCTGGGGTTTAAAAGGATTTCGGCTTTCTCCATAGACTTACAGGTGAAGCCACATCACCGATGTGTAGATCACGAATGCAAGCTACTGTCAGTGGAACTGTAACATGTGGCAGACATTGACATGTAACATACATGAACATGAAAGAACCATTTGATGCACTTCCTTGTCGATCATACGTCAATCCATTCTTGGGATTTATGCAACCATTTGTCTCATCTCCCACACTTAATTCTTCTTTGAGTCATGTACCCCATGGGACGGGCGTTGTCAAGGGAATGACATTCGGCACTCAAAGCCCAAATTGCATGGAGATGGAGGCTACTCACGAAATTCCAATGTTGTTCGGTTGCAAACACGACTTTGTGTTTTGGTGACTTATTGGCCGCAAGCGAGCCCCCGAGCGGCTTGCATCACTCCAAGAAGTGGATCCAGATTTGGGTCTTTCTCACTGGGGATCCCTTGTTTGGGATGGTTTGAGGACAAAGGAAGCATACATATCGAAGCAAAAAGGAAGCCTAAAGGAAGCCGAAAGAAGCCTAAAGGAAGCCAAAGGAGAGATACGTTTTTTCGATGAGACCCACCCCTACATTTTGTTGGGGCTTCCCCCTTCTGACCCATCCGAGCGCGAGGGCCGAGTCCCAGTGCACCATCAGCTGCATGGAGGGCCGTACCTTGGATGCCGGCGGCGGCCTCAAACCGGCGTCGAGTTGCGTCGCGGTCTGTCGCGGCCTTGCGGAAATGGGGGAAACTCGGGGCTCCCGAAATGCGTTGTTTTTTTCTGGGGGGGAGAGAGAGAGAGAGAGCCTTTTAAGCTTTTGTGTGTGTGTGTTTTTTTTTGGGGAACCCCAACCTTTTAGGGACACCGAAGGGACACCGAAAGGACACCGAGGTCCATTTCGAGGGTTAATTCTAAATGGGGTCAAGAGAGCCTGATCACATGAACATGCTCCTTTCTGGTTTTGACAAAGAGCCAGTTGGCTGTTGCTGCAGCATTTCCTTGCTTTGAGCCCCAACTGGCCCGCTCAACCCGTAAGATCCTTTCCGACAAGTGAAAGGAATCCCTTTGTGGTTTCCCATTCGCTGGATTGTGTAACTTCGCATTGGAAAACCACAACTTGAACAGCCAGCCAGCGATGTCACATTCAGCTTAAGGATTCCCAGCGCTGACCCCGGAAGATAGCCCTCGGACATCTCCCTCGAGCCAAACCACGTATCCAAAGCGAAGCGATGCAAGGAGGGGCATTCCTACCAAACATGAGGAGGTAGCGGTGATGTGAACCACAAGTCTAGCTTTTGCTGAAACCAAGCTAGAACAAATCACCGAATCACTCGCACTGGAAACGCCAGGAAAGTTTGTTCGAACCTTACCGAGGGAATCGTTGGAGGGTTCTGAGAACGAGGGTCTACAAGGGTGTGTATCTTTTTTGAGGCCACCCTTGCAGTTTTGGTTTAAAGGAACTAACAGGGAAGCCACCACTTTGGTCCCCCTAGTCAGCATCAAAGGCTTACCTTCTCAACTTGCTCCGTTCTTGGGTGTCCTTCAATTTTCCCTATATACCAGCAACAGTTTCGCACTTTTTGCAGGAGGTCTACTTGGATGTTCAACCAGCGGATCTAACTTTGGTAACTGCGGTTGCTCCCCTGATCACCATGAGTCAGAACCTACTTGCCAGGTTGGTTCACCACCCAAATTAAGTCCGGTCAAGTCAGAAGGTCATAAGGAAGAACAAAGCTAGCGTCGCCCGAGGGGACAACGGCACCTACTGCTTGGCGCGGGTACCTTATGCCCCCACCGGCCTTGCAGACAGCGAGGCGCGGGGTGCGGGCTTGGTTGGGTTGGGTTTCTTGGTCTTCAAATGGGGGTTCCAACCTATGTGTGCCGTTAGTAAGGGGCAGTCCCAACCATAAATGATGCAGCCGCCTTTGTAATTCTTGACATGGTTCTGGGTGGGTCATTTTAATACCGGGGTTTGACTATGACTCATATGTGTGTTACTTTTTTCTTTTTTCTCTTTGAACTGTACCCCTGCTTGGCGATCCTGTGATGGCCGTGCCTTTGACCATGGCCGTAGGGAGCTAGAACTTGCGATCTCGTCGAGTCACGTCGCCCAATGCAGCACGACCGCTGTTTTTTATGGGCTGAGGCCTCCTCTCTTGGGCTTCTCTTCTTGCCTGCTTGGAATGTACTCCACCCGCCTAGGAATGCCTAGGGGATATCTGAAAAAGACGTTTCCACTGAACAGCGCCGCCCAACTTTGGAAACTCACTTTAAGCTGGCCTTTACAAAGTCTGATGCTTCCAACTGCCCAAACTTGCTTTTTTAGGAGACCCCCAAATTGGCTTCTGCGAACCCCCAAACTGGCTTCGGTTTTCCTATCTGCAGACCGCTTTTTGCGAAGAGGCTTGCGTCAGCCTTTGTGGTGACACCCTGCGGATAGAGAAGTGGGCGAAGGATCGCTTCCCTGCCTTTGCGCGTGCTTGACCGGGCCGGGACCTGAAAGCAACCCTGAACCAGAAGCCAATCCTAAAATACACCCTAAAACCACCCTAAACCATCCCAAGCCAACCCTACACCCAGGTTCAACCAACCTTGAAGCAAACAGCCTCAACCAACCCTTAACCTGCCGCAAGCCAACCCCACCCTAAGTGCAGCCCAAACCCACCCAAAGCCAACCCTACACCCTAAAACCTCCCTAAGCCAACCCTAAACTTGCTAAATCCAGTGCGGCCTTTCCATGAACTCAAGGTGGTTCAGAGTTGCTTGCTCCCATGCGACCCCGCGAGGTAAAATGGGGTTTGTCTTGGAATTTGGCTGTTGGAACGGTGTAGACACAGAACTTGGAACTATCGCAAACTTTAAGTCACCATTTGTGCAGAGCTTCGCTGCGCAAGATTGGCCTCTGAATCGAAACCTTCTTCATGCAGAATGGCAAGCAGGCTTGCCATTAGCAAAATCAGAAGCTTGTTGCAAATGAGCCAGAACTGGGAAGGCAAGAATGCGCTGGAAGAGGACCTAGACAGCTCCTGATAAAACACCAGCAGTGAATAAGCTTATTGAACAACAAGCGCAACATAGACACAAGTCTTCAACATTTTAGTCTCTGATCTCTTGATTTCTCGAGAACGTAGCTGGACAAGTGTGCATGATATTGGATGTGATGTGTATTCAGGAAAGAGAGGTTGCTTGTTATTGATGTGGCACCTTATTCTAACTTCGAGAACATGCTGATTCTACCACATCTCTTATCGCTCATCCATGCAGATCAGAGATCTGCACGACCAATATCTGTTTTTGTTCATTTTTCTTTTTTGCAATGATGAGTGCCCAGGCTTGGGGCGGTTTTGGGACGGTTTTGGGACGCTGTTGGAGCAGCAATGGAAAGTTGAAGGAACTGGAGCCGAATGGTGCGATATCGGAAAAGTATGAGAATGCCAAGAAGTGCCAACCCTGAGGTATTGGACAAAGAGAATTCCTGCGGCGGATCCAGTTCAACAGTTCGGATTTTCTTTCAGCTTGAGACGGTTTGGTCGACTGCGTGCTGCTTGGTTTCCGCTATTGCCGTGCGAGGTGTTGCTGGTTGTTTCGTTCGCTGCGTGGCTCGTCGCGCGGGGCTGGAGTTTGGATCTCGGTGTCTGCCGTCGTCGTGTTCCAAACGGAGGGCCAAGCGCGGACCTAGCAACCAGTCGTGTTCGCTGCAAATGAGGGTCTTGGGGGGCGCTGCGATTTATTTGATTTTTTTGGTTTTCGCCACAGCACGGCATCCATGGGTTTTAGTGACTCTCGAGCGTATTTGGAGGAAGCTGTGGAAAGAAAAGAACCCTATGTTTGATGAGCTGATGGCGCGGCTCGGCGCTTGCCAGCTTCTTGTGCTTGTGGAACACTCCTTGGATGGCGATTCTGGGGTTTCATTTTTTTTTTTAAATTAATTTTTAATAAGGCTTTTGGCACAGGAGATATCCATGAACTTCCATTTGCTGAAATGAGTATGTATATATATATATGCTATATATATATATATATATGTTCCAGTCCCATGCAGCTCCGGTCCCAGACTCCCACTCCTTTCACCCCGTGAACCCTGAAGCAACCCGAAGCCAACCCTAAACCAGCACAACCCTGCAACCCTTACCCTTAACCCCAACCCTATCCCTAAATCAAACCCAAACAACCCTAAGCTTTACCCACAGTAAAGCAACCCCATATAACCCTAAACCAACCCACCAACCCGAAAAACAAACGCACCCCCCCCCCCTTCACAGGGACAATTGTCCCTTGTTGGTTTTAAAGGACATCTATCCCTGCACATATTTTCGCACTGTTTCCATGCGCATCCGCAGACGCGACGGTCCAGTCGCTGGTCAAGACAGGTGACCAACTCCAGCCTCCGCCTGTCTTGGGCCTGGGGCGCTTGGCCGACGGCTTTGAAGGGGGAGCTGGTTTCTGGTTGACCCCATCAGGGCTCCTTAAAGGAAATTCATTTTGCAACCATTTGAAACATGTGGCTTTTTCAACACCAAAATCAGAGGAACCCACCATTTACAAGTTGCAATGTTCAGGTGTATAATGTAAGGATCCCTGCCCATATTCTCATCCCCTGCTATTGATAAGGGCGTGCTTCTCCCTGGGTTTGGTGGGAAATCATTAAACAATCCCAGTCTATCATTAAGGACATGCTTCTCCCTGCTTGCAATCAGACCACTTTTGGAGGGGGCACCTCCCAATTAAGAAACTGGGGTTGATGAATATGGGGTCAAGTTGAAATTTCAAGGAATATCAAGGGGCCCTTTTTGGGGTATGTTGATTTGCTGGAGACCCGTGTGCGGAGAGAGAATGGCAAGTTTGGACCGCGGCAAAGGGATGGTCGTGGACCGGGATTTGTTCGACGATGGTTTTCATGGAGGCAGCAATCACGGCCCACACATTCAGAGTTTGGTTAACGCATAAAGGCACATGCCTTTCTCCTCTGAAATCAGATGGACGACCCTGGAAGCCTTGCTTGGCATCCAATAGCCCTTCCTCGTGCCCGGAGCCCTCAGATTTCTCTGAGTCAAGTGTCGCCTTGGCAAGTGAGTTTCCCTTGGGAGTGGTGATAGCTTTTTGGGACATAAAAACCCAGAGTGGCGGAACCCAGTTGCGCCCTCTGTCAATACTTGTTTTTCTTCATTTGTTTGTGGTGGATTCACGGGTGTCATCTAGAGCGCTCATCTTCGGAACACGCTTCCTGTGAGGGACACTCTGCTCGCAATCAGCGCAGCATGTGAACAGTTTTGGACCTCCTCGTAGACAATGTGGGTCTATAGGTCCGGCGTTCAGCTTGGCTAACTTATAAAGCATCTAAGACTCACAAGGCGACATGGAACCCGAAAGGGCGGTCCCGTAAAGGAGTTTCCGCTCCACAAACGTCGGCTTTTGGGTTCCAGGGTTAATCTGCAGAAGAGTAAGTTCAGAGAGACCTTCGGACCCCCGGAATCTTCGAGCCCAGAACTCCCCCAAATCACCCCGAAGCCATCCAAAAAGCTGCCTGGAAACCACCCCACCGCAAGCCACGTTTCAAGCCACGTTTCAAGCCACCACGCCACGTGGAAACCACCGGTCGGCCCGTCCGCCCAGGAGGCCGGGCTCTCGGGCGGCGAGCCGCTCACCGGCTATGTCATCTGGGCCTCCCAAGGCATCCGCAAAGCCGCGGGTTTCTCTCGGAACTCGTTTCTGGGTGTGGCTGTTTTGTAGCCCCCCCAAGTGGCTCCGGCTTTTCTCTTGGTGTCCCTGTAAACACCACCAAAAAGGGGTACAAGAACCCCAACAAAAGACGGACACATATGGAATCCTATGGGCTAAGCATTCCTTTTGGCTTCCCTTGAAAATGGATGGCCAGCCATCAGCTGCTTGTTTTTTCTCCCAGTGACGGTTAGTTACAGTTGGCAACGTGTCCGCCACAAAGCGACCACTTGGCTAGCGGGTTGACATGATCACTTTATATAAGTTTCATCCAAATTGGGTCAACCGCTATTTCACGTGTTGAACCCTAGGGCTTGCTGTGTTAGGGAAATGAGGGGACTCCGATCTTTCACGAAGCCATTGTTTCATCCCGAAAGTCGGTGTTTGTTCTTTTTGGTGACATTAAGGTACCGCAGAAGTGTAGAAGCCCTGTCCCTTCTCTTTCAACTCCCAAAGAGGGTTTTGCGCATTTTTTTCGGGAGTGCGGGAGTGCCATGCTTTCTTCCCCGTATGGCGAAGCACATTTCAGTCTTCCCCATTGGGCAATGTTGAAGCCCGTTAAAAGTGGGCCGTTGTGTTCCTAAAAAGCTAGTCCAACTCACAGATCGCTCCTTTTTTTGGGCTTACTGCTTACTTGTTGAGTTGGCAAGCTGTACACCTTTTGTTGGTTTGCTTCATCATGTGAGTACAGCCCAAGACATGTGTAGAGCCACTCCCTTTTTTTGGGCCAGTCAACTCAGGCGGACTCGTACCTGAGGATGGGCTTGAAGGTATGGAACTTGCAGGCCCCAGGGTTCGATCCAAACAACAAGCCCCGCTGGCTTCCGTTTCAGCGAGTCGGCTCCCGTTCTGGGAGACCAAAAGGATCCTCCGGCGCCCGCAGCGAAAAGAGAGAGGCTGGTCACAAATAGGAGATCACCCCCGAAAAAAGTCCGGGATTTGGTTGAAGCGCTCCTTGAGAACCAGGTGCGCCTCAGCGAAGTCACCTCGTAGGTCCAATGCGTTGCAACGGGCAGTTCAGCCAGTGCCGAAAACAAATTCCGCAAGGTTGTCAGCGCTGGTGACTTTGCCGCTCCAACAATGCGGAGCTTGAAGCCCCGCACACTTCTCTTCAGGAGGGATTCTCTTCGAGCTTGGCAGTCCTGACTTGCTGTTTGATTTGCGGGATCATATCCATTTGGCTTGGGATTGCGAGCAGTTTTCTAGCTGGGTGGGCTGCCAGGAATCCCGCTGCATTTCGCAGTCTTTACCCCGTTGCCTCCGTGCGCAGTTTGACAAACCCTGCAAGTCGGAGATTAGGGTCAGTCTCTCGCAGGAAGGCAGGGTAGCGAGGAGAGGCAGCCCCGCATGGATGGCTCGTAGAGGCTCTAAGAGCTTGAGAGTTATCTAATGTTCAAGAGGAAACATGTAGCAAAGATTGCAAGCGCTTGGTTTCCATTCCTTTTTTGGCGACAATTGGTGAGCATTTTTCCCTCTGAAAGGCGGCTCTGCTCCTCGGCTGCAGGTGCCGACTTCAGTGAGATGGCCTCCGTGCAGGGAACCCAGAGGTTTCAGCCGTGGATGCCATGGGAATGTTTCTGTTTTGGTCGCTTGGTCGATTGGTCGGTTGGTCGGTCGGTTGGTCGGTCGGTGGGTTGGTTGGTTGGTTGGTTGGTTGGTTGGCTGGTTGGTTGGTTCGTTGGTTGGTCGGTCTGTTGGTTGGTTGTGAAAGACATAGCTGTGAAAGACATAGTAGCTGATTGTGTCAGCGTACTTGGATGTTCGGCCAAGCAAGTGGTTAGCCACTTCAGTTGTAAACCACACACACAACGGACATAACCCCACTTGGGGGCCCTTGCAAGTGGGCTGTTATTATGGTTATCAACAACCTTCAAACTTGGCCAAACACCCAGCTGAAGAGTGCCTGGACATTTTCCCCCACTTTCTTGATGTCCACCAAAGGGTCATTAGAATCCAGACCCACATCTGTATGACAAGCCCCAAGACCTCACTCTGCACTGAATTAACGGAGCGAGCCCGAAAAGCGGGGGTCCTATTCAAAAGAAGTTTCTCCAACAAATGGCTCGGGTGTTTGGATTCCATGTTAAACTGTGGGGCAGTTGTTTGTGGGGGTCGTCGTCGACGACGAACACCCTTCCGAATATTTTTACTTCCCCTGTTGGTGTTGAAGGGCATCATTAGTGACTACCCTCGCCCACTAACATGGCACCTGACAGGGGGTTCCTTCAAAAGGTTGATCTTCCAGGTACCCCTTTTACAGGTGCTATGTTGGAGGAAGGGTATTCTTACCTGGACAATCATGGCCAATCATGGCCACACGCATTCATATCTCGTCTTGTATGCCTTTCGCGGGAGGAAAGGTAACAACCCGGCTACCAGTTGGTTTTCTTTTGGTTTCTTCTTTAAACACCAAACACATGGTACCATTCCCTTTTAAACACACATCTTGCTGGTTCTGGTCCAAGCTTTTTCTCCGAGGGCCCAAACTGCTTGCACCGCCCGCGGGATGCCCGGTGACTGCCCCCAACCGCCACTGCCGTAGTGCAGGGACCTGGCCACCTCGGCGGAGCTCACCGGCCTGGCAGGCGATGGGCGGGGTGCGTTTTGAGGTCCTCCCGGGTGAGGGGTGTGGATTTTTCCCGTCAAAAAAGGCGTGTTTGTAGCGGGGGCTCCTTGGTTTGGGTTCACTTGTTTTAGGTTCTCCCTTTTCAGGGTGCTCACTTTGGTTGGGTTCACTTTTCGCGCTTCCTTTTCGTCTCGCCTCTTTTTGGGCTCCAAAGGTGAAGGGGTCAGCTAGGGGTTGTCCCATAGGTGTTATTCAGTGGAGATCCTTCACTTTGGTGCCCCCCCAATCCGGGGCTCCCATACTGGGGCTTCCATAGCGACCTTTGGTTTCCCCCCGAAAAAACACCGCAGACCGACGTTTTTCTCACCCCACCTTGGAGCAACCCGCCTGGCAAGGGAGTGTCGTTCCAGGAATCTGGGGACAACCTATGTCAGCAGTAGGGGCTTCGATTGCTACCTGGCTGAACGGTGGCTATCTAAACTTTTGTACCACAACCCAAAGTCGGCGGGCATTGTGTCCTGCTCATTTGAGCCATAGAAACCTCTGCATTGAAGCTTGATAAGCCCAGGTGGCGTATCCCCAGCCACCGATCCGGAACCCAGAGTTGATCCGGTTCCGCAACTCGGGAGTTGATTTCTGGGCATAAACCTTTCGGCTGGGGACGAACCATTCTGCTGGTTTCTACTTGAGTGTTCAGCCAAGTGAGGAAGTTGCAACGTGGTTATAAGCCACTTATAAGTTCCCGGTTCAGTGGGGTTACCCTTGTTAGTCGGTTTTCTCAGCCAAGTGGCTAGCCACAGACACTAACCTGGCGTTCCGAAGATCCATGGTGCCTGATTTATGTTTGCATTGGAAGACCAGATGCATGGACTTGGCTTTTACCTCATCCGCATCATGATCTTGCAGTGGCTTGTTCTGTGGCTGGCATTTTTGAGTTCCATGTTGAACAGCCCGTGGTCGGTTCACTCTCCGAATATTAGAGGAAGGTCTTTGGGGCTCTGTTCTTTATTGATTTTGCATGTAAACTGGCCCAGGTTGGTTTTACCATGGTTGCTCACTCAAGACTTCGGAAGTAACCTTGGAGTGGAACATGGGCCAAGCGTATTTGTATGTGCCAGTGCTTTGGCGAACTTCGCCCTAGATGCCGACTTGGGGGATGACCCGGACCCCACTTTGGCCATGCTTCGCAACCCCTTTCTGTGCGAGTTGGCGCAAAGCCGCAGGCGACACGGAGTATTCGTTCAAGGCCCGGGTCCGAAGATTTTGGCTTCATTTGACGGGTTTCCAGGGGTTCATTTCAGGGAATCGTTGAGGTTCATGCGGGTTGGTTCCAGAATAGTTACTCCGGGCGTTTGCAATGTGGGTACAGTCTCTGCCGCGATGGAATCCTTTCGTCAGCCCAGAGGTAGGGCAATCGTGCACCCCAGAGGGCATTTTTCATCGGAGTTCTAACCTCTTCCTGGGACCCCTGACAGGAAGGATGCAGATCTTAACTTCCTCAGTCCACTGGCAAGACAAATGATTCATGAAGCGTCCGTGGATGACCCTTGGATGTTAGAACAGTTGGTGGCGAACCACTCACAACCGTCTTCACTCTAGTAAGGGGACCTGTAGGTTGTTTACAGCCTCGTTTAACAACCTACTAGCTTGGCAAAATGCCTAAGTACCTATCCTCCAGGAGAAGGTGCATGGACCACCACCCTGCTTCAGGCAAATGGTTGGGGGGGATTATGCCCCCCGGTTTTGTTCGACCCCCAACCTGCGTTTTTGGGGCACAGACACTAACAGGCAGCATGGAGGTCCCAAGCAAATCTCCAGGTGCCTGGCGCGCAGAAAAACATCTCAAGTGGTAGGTAAAAGGAAAAATCTGAGTTTTGATACCCCCCCAAAAAACAAACAACGAAACAAAACAACGACAACTAAAATAGTGATCCTTGTTCCGGCAAAGCTTTGCTTCGTAACTTGGAGAACCCCTGGAGAAATTCGCTTGCCCCGAATCCAAAATCTGTGTTTCTTCTCGAATGACTTCGCCAGAGTTATGCCCCAAGGGGGAACTCCAAGAGACCGCATGCAAACCACATAGGCACGGGAGGATGAATGCACTGGGTTGATTGCAATGGGCTGGCACCCCTCACAAGGCGATCCGGAACGCATGAAAATCGGACACCACGGGCGGAAGGACCCGCAGGGACTTTGATTGTGCCTCAGGTTGAGAGAGGGAGGTGGTCTCTAAAACAGGCTGGCTCACACAATTGCTCCACACTTGCTAAGTGTCCAATTTCTCCCAGGGTTCGGGATTCCATTTGGGCGCATAGAGGACCCCATAGTTGTTTCCCTTATCTCTCAGCGGTCCAGGACGGGGTCGGGACCCCGTTTTGAACAAATACACATCTGCAAAATGAAGGCGCCAAGCTCCGCAAGAGGAAGCCTACATGTCGTCATTTTCATTTGGAGACATGTCAAGTTTGGGGGGGCGGGAGTCTAAGTGTGTGCGTGTGTGTGTGTGTGTGTGTGTGTGTTTTTGGTGGGTGGTAGGAGCCGTTTTGTAACTTCCATTGCAAACAACATGTTTGCACTTGTTCTGGTTAACTCAAGCGAGAAGGTAAGCTGCATGAGAGAGTTTCCAATTGAGAAAGAGCAGTCACATGCATAGGCAATTGAACATTGAACGTGCATGGTTGCATCAAACACATGGGGTTCCCAAAAAGGTTGGTTGGCATTTCAAGTGACGCCAAGAAGCACACCCATCTCCAGAAGAAATCGTTCCAGAATTTTGAGAACACGGGGTCTCAATTAAATGGTGGACGTTTTCTTTTTTTGCTCAACGCGAATCCCGGCCCCACCCCTCCCCCCCCTCTGCTTCCCATTGCTGGGCTTGGCCCCTGGAGGTCCAAGCGCTCAGCTCCGCAGGCTCGGGGGATCTCAGCGCTGCGCTCGGAGCGGAGCGTTTGGCGATCGCAGCCCGTCGGTCGCTGGAGCTGCCCCTCGGGTGTGAAGCTCCCGCTGTTGTGGGGGCTAGCCCTGGATGTCGTGCAGGTTAAGGGGCGCACCAAAGGAAAGAGCCCGTTCGACGGGTCCTTTGCTTGAAGGCTTCTGAGTCTCGCTCCGGCGGGTCCGGAAGCCGGAGCCGCGATGTGAGGTGCCGCCTGGACGGTGCGCACAGGGCCCCTGGTACCAGAGGCTGTGTGGGACCTGGTAGCCAGCCCGGGCCAGCCGGGAGCCAAGCGAGCGAGGTTTTTGAATCTCGGGTTTTGGGGGGGTTTTCTTTGAAGGTACCCAGGTACCCCCCCTTTTTGGGTGCGGTTCCCCCCCTTTTTGGGTTCGGTTCTTTGGAGGGCGCCTGGTTTGTTGGTTGTTAACCGCCAATTCTAGGCGTTGGCCGAGCTGGAGAGGAAAACACACATCTTGCAAGTAGAGCCACAAAGCACCCCTAGTCTCTGAGTTGACCAACCCTGCTATTTCGTGGGGGAACTGGACCAGCCACTGGGCATGCCTCTACCCGTTTGGTTTCCAGTTTGTCTCTTGACAAGCAAAGTCTTCCACGTATTTCAACTGTTTCTACCGTTTGCTGAATCGGCGATCTTGAATGTTTTTTTTTTTTTTTTTCCCCCTCCATTTTTTTTCCTTTTTTTGTTTTTTGTTTGTTTGTTTTCTCAGTCGCTTGTCAAGGGACGTGGTCAGCGCCAAGTATCACTGAGTTGGGGGCTTCGGGAAGTGAACCCCTGATTCTCGCAGTGCAGCTGGGAATTGGCTCGAGCTCACGGCGGGGCCTCGCCGGGTCGTCGTTGATTTAAGCCGAAAGAGGCCCCGGATGATTTTGAGAAGCCATGTAATTGCAGGATATAACAAGGATCTAAAAGGATCGAAGGCCTTAGTCGTCTTAATCTTCCGCGTTGTGGCGGCCTTTCACCCCAGTTGCGCCCGCCTTGGGCGCCCCGTTTGCTGTTGTGCTTTGCTGCACCCAAACCTGCACCTCAGACGAAGAAGTGAATCAGACAATGGAATGTACCTGGGTCGCTTTCGCTGGTTTCTCCCATTTCCCAGCAACGACTGGTTGCAAAGGAAAGTGCGTGGAACAAAACAGCAACTTCATACCTCCAAGCACGCCTGTTTCGTTCGGCCCGCGGGCCTTCCGTGCGGGCGCTGCCTTCGATTCATGCGGCGAGATGGCGCGGGTCTTGTTTCCCGCGGTGCGGGCGGTGTCCTTGGACGTCTTCGGCACGCTGGTGGTCCACAGGCCGGCGGCAGAAATGAAGGTGAGGGCCCAAAGCACCACTGGGGGGTGTTTTGGTTTTAAGGGAACCCGGTTTTTGGTTGGGTTTCAAGGAACACCAAAAGGAAAGCCACCATTTTGGGGGGTTTCCTCAAGAAGAACAAACCTAGTTGTGCCTTGGTTAGAACACTCTTCTATTTGCGGTTGGGCGCGGTCATCGCACGAGGAAACCCGACGATTGTAATGTTCCTGGTAAGGGGGCCCAAGGGGGCCATGACCCACATACGGAGTCTCATGGCAGACTGGGCTCGAAAGGACACAAGGCGGGTCCACCTTGCTGAATATAGGACACCGCTCCATTCTGTGGGGGTTCCCCCCATTTTGACACATACCCTCATGGGTGAAATTCCTCGGCATGTTTGGCACCAAGCACCCCGCAGAGAGTACATGGGAATCCACTCTACCTCAGCTCGATCTTTTTGGGTAACTAGATCCTGGCATGTCACTTTTTGGCGTGTCCGGATTGTTTTAAGGGCAAGCCGATTGCGGCAATCCAAAGGACACCCGAAGCCCATGTCTTAGGGATCCTATCTTGAGACAAAATGATTTGGGTGGAGTTTCTCCTGCTGGTTTCCCTTCAACACCAGCCCAAAAAGGGTACCCTTGGCCTCCAAAAAGCTGCTTCTTACAATTGGGCGGCCCAACTTCAGATGAGTCACAATCAAAACCTGGGTAATTGGAGGGTAAGGGATACATCCAGCCATACATGGGTGCGGATATCCCCGCCTTTTCAACTCTTGAGGCTTGGCTCTGGGCCGGGGTTTGATTCTGACTCAGATCCAACGAGGCATCCCATCCACGAGACCTACGCGGCCTGCGCGCTCTGGGCCAAGCTGGAGAACCCGCCCACGGCGGAGGCGGAGTCCCGGAGTTGCTATGACTTGCGGACTTGAGTGACGCCTGGGTGTGGGTCAAAATTAACCCACTAGGGGACCGCAGGTTTTAGTCCATGTTTCCATTTACCAGGGTTCATTTTGGGTTCCCATTTTTAACCCACACCCACCTGGCTCTGGGTCAAAACTAACGGTACCATGTTGGGGTCGGTGAATTCACCACCCCTTTTAGAACTTATTTTAGTGGGGATTGGGATGTTTACTAGGGGTACGATTTGGATTTTGACCCAGGGCCACCTGGCTCTGGGTTCACCAGTTTGTACTAGCGAAAGTCGCGAGGGTCTCTGGTTCTGGGTTCACCACTTTTGCATGACACCGATCTTTGATTGTGACTGAAATGAAACGTGGGGGTTTTACTTCGATCCGGGCTTCCCATCCAACCAATTCAGATGGAACCCCACCTTCGCGGGTCCTGGTTTGGACCAAATTCCCGAACGTCAGGTATGTGAAAAGGCTAGGAGGGCACGTGGGCCTGCTTGGAATCGGTTTTACGTGGGTCAGAACATGGAATCCCCCAAAATGGCACCCCAAGGCCATCATGTTGCGAGCGGCAGCGCCATGGCTGTGTCCAGTAGCAACGACCAGGCAGCGCCTTGATGACCTGTGGCAGCTGCCTTTGTCGCTTTGCCGCTGTTTTACTTTGAGCCACACTGTGGGTAATGTGAACCGCGGAAGAACACACACATCGATGAATTTCAGAGGGGGGTGTAAACTATTTTGATTGGGGATTCAGATCACTTTTGGAGGGCGCCCGACTCCCTATAAATAGTGCGGGTTTATTAATTGTGAATTTTAAGTGGGGGCCCTTTTGGACATCGATTTCGGTGGCCAACTTATGTGCAGCCGCTTTTGAGGGTCCCAATGAAAAGTTCGCAGCCATGTTTTCTCCCCTTAGCCGGTTTCCCATTGAACTATTTTCCATGTTTTCCGCAGGAATTTCAAAAAGGGGATTTTGGTGGCCCCTTTTTGGACGGTGCTTTACATAGGGTTAAACTACATTTCCTGCAAAACAGCATCGTTGTTGGACGGGCAGATTTGAGTGTGCTTTTGGTGGCGTTGATGTTCAAAAGAGCAGCATGTTGGTCGAGTTGTCCAACCTGCTGAATTTTGAGGGAGCCAGATGCCCTTGCGAATGGGTTTTACATGAGGGTCTTGGTCCAAACAAAGAGGACGCCCAAACGCAGAAACCGCGTGAGCCACAATCAAAACCCGGGTAGATGAAGGTTAGTAAGGGGCAGTCCCAGCCAGACATAGTTGCAGCTGCCTTCTTAATTCTTGAAGCACGGTTCTGGGGTTACGCCCATTTTAATACCTCAGTTGACAAATTGGTGGAGCAAGTTGGTTTTGAGAACCACTATTTGGGTTCAATTGGAGTCCAATTGGAGAACCACCTTTCTGGGTTTTGAGCAAGTGACTCACCTCGTGAGCGCCAGGGTAAACCACCGAGTCAGGAGCTGCGTCCGGCCTTCAAGCAGGCCTACCGGGAGGCGCTGAGCAGTGGCCTGGCCGAGAGCCTAGGCCTAGGCCCTGGCCACGTCAGAGGCGCATGTTGCCAGTGAGACAACTTTTGGATTTCCAGCCATCCCCTCAAGATTTTGGTTTTTAGTTGGTTTAGTGGTAGTTTCCTCATTTATTTGGTGCATGTTGCCAAGGGATGTTAGGACTTTAGAACTTTTTGCCAACGAATGAAACGGTTTTCCGTATTCAGCCACTAAAAGTTAACAACTTTTAGCAGGGCAGAAAGCAAGCCAGATTTGGGGGTTGAACAGGTCCGAGGAACGTGGTAGGACCACTGGTTGGAAAACCGGACAACTATGAAAAAGGAGGACCATTTCACTAAATGGGAGAAGTTAATCATGGTCAATTTGAAAGCCAGGAATATTGATCAACCCCATGTAAGGAAAGGGGGGGGTTGTACACTACCCAGGGTCATTCTTGGGGAATCGTAAGGATGGCACGGTTTTGAGAACTCTCCATGACTAAATGTAAGCATTATTTTTCCCGATATCAACACCCCCCCCGGGTGTGAGCTTCTAGTTTAATGCACAGCAAGCAGGCCCAAGCTCATTCTGGCTCATGCGGGCCAAACCAGCTAGACAAAAACTGGTGCTGATGGCTGCCTTGGAACAGTCTGGTCATCCTCGGGTTTTCTACCCCATGGGGGGACTTTGACAACGGCAAAATCTGATCTGAACCGCTAGTGGATTAGTTCACTCTGCGAGACACTGCGCTATTGGTAGCGGCCACTCAGTGGTGGCTTGGTGACCGATCTTAAAGAGATTATTGGAAATTCAAGCTCCGCAAGCTGCCGACAGCTCTATCAAATGTGTACAGATGTCTTTACGCTTGGGAAACACTCGGCTAACTGAGGGAATAATGAAGCTGCGTGCCGAAGGTGTGCAGATCTCTGGCTGACATCAATCCCCAAGCTTGAAAGGAGGGCATTGAAACTGAATGCGTTGCCACATCATGGAATCACAAAGCAAGAGCTCTTGTCATGGGGGCAGTGAAAGCCAACTTATCAAAACTCATCCAACGATGCCAAGCTCCTTTTCATGCCTTCTCTCTGTCTCTCTGTCTCTCTCTGTCTCTCTGTCTCTCTCTGTCTCTCTGTCTCTCTGTCTCTCTGTCTCTCTGTCTCTCTGTCTCTCTGTCTCTCTGTCTCTCTGTGTCTCTGTCTCTCTCTGTCTCTCTGTCTCTCTCTGTCTCTCTGTCTCTCTGTTGCTCTGTCTCTCTGTGTCTCTGTGTCTCTCTGTCTCTCTGTCTCTCTCTGTCTCTCTGTCTCTCTGTTGCTCTGTCTCTCTGTGTCTCTGTGTCTCTCTGTCTCTCTGTCTCTCTGTCCCTCTGTCCCTCTGTCCCTCTGTCTCTTTCTCTCTCTCTCTCTCTCTCTCTCTGTCTCTCTGTCTCTTTCAAGATCATTTGGTGAGTGAGGAAAGAGGACCAGCAACAACTATTTACTTTCACAAGTCTCATTCACAAGATCGTGATGTGATTAATTTTTCAATGGGGCAGAATCGAAAAGTCGCGGCCAGACCCGAAAGTGACACTGTTTCTCAAGTTTCTGGTAACTCCCCCCCCCCCCCCCGCCCCGCGGTGGTTTGGATTGGTTTGGTTGTTTGGGGGGTGGCCGCCCATTTACCCTTTACAAGAGCCAGGGGCCCGTTCAACAAGTTTCCAAGCCACCAATCCACGCCGCCAATTGGAGGGACGCTGAACATGGAATTTCCTTCCCCCCCCCCCCAAAATGGACAAAACACTGGAGGCCTTGCAGCAAACATGTCCAAACCAATCCAAACCACCAATCTGGACGCTGAAAATGGACAAATCCACTGGAGGCTTGGGTTGCAGCCAAACCAAAATGTCGGGGGGCCGGGGCTGCCGAGGCGACCCTTGCTTCGGCCATGAGGCCGGCATCTCCTCCCGTACCTGGTGGGCGACTTGGCACGAAAACCAACTCGACTCATTTGTGAGACCAACATCACATAAATAAGTACATACCGCCCCCTCATGATCTACCTTCCATTCCCTATATATATATATATATATATATGAACATGTATTTTGTTTTTGCTCAAAGGTCGTTTGGTAACACTTGCAACGGGGTTCATTGAAAGACACTGGAAGACGGGTTTCCTTCTAAACCAACAAGATTTGCCCCCGGTGCCCACATACCAAATGGGTACACTTGAGTACAGTCCTACAGTCCTTGTGATATGGGTCTGTCACTCCTTTTTTTGAGTCAACATCCATTTTGGGGAAAGAAGAGATCACCATGCATGCCTTTGCTTGGGAATCCCTTCATGCAGCTATTTGAAGAAGAGAAACATTTGCACGGGTCCCTGGAAAAGTCCTACCCCTGCGACTCCTTGACATTTTCTGATTTTATTTCGATTCCGCGTAGCAAAACCCATCTAAACCTCAATTTTAAGGGAGCCATGACCATAGGCCATAGGCGTTTTCACCGTGGCTCATGTCTTTGGATCTATCTTTTGACTTACCCCGTGGTGGGTATAGTTCCATGATAAGGAGATTATGCCCCTGGCAGCCCACTTCACACGGGTGAAGATCCCTGATTATTCCGCTTGACATGGGTGAAGACCAGGGAGTTTTCCATTTTACATCTACGAAGCCCTGGCAACCCCTGGTACACGGTTGTTGTTTGGAAGCATTTTACATTTTGGCTTGTGGTTTAGTGGTTGAAATCCAAATCCACTTCACTGCTGAACATTTTCAATTTTTGCTCCCCTTCCAACGTCAACCAGGTGTACCGGGTGTCACCTTAAGTCGCTTTTCAAGCTGCCTGCAGGAGAAGACCGTGCGCCTGGCGCTGACGCACACTGGTCGGGAGTATCCCCGAGAAGACTTCCGGCGCTACTTCCGGCGGGTCTACCAGCACTACGGTGCCTGAGACGAGAACTGAGGGGAGCCCATACCCCACCCCCCTACTGTAGATGGACAGAATCCTGCACCACTTGCAATCCATGGGAAACCATTGTTTGTTGGTATTTACAGCGAAATCATCATTCCAGCATTTTTTGGGTGGTGCAGGATTTTGTCCATCGACAGTATTAATAAACTGGGTTGATTAAAATGGGGTCAACATGACTGTGGGTGGTTGCGAAATGCGAGACTGCGCCACGAAATGAAACCATGGTTGAACCCATTGTTCGGTTTGTAGGGGAATCGAATCGTTCCAGGGTTTCTTAGGCGGTGCAAAATGGATTTCGTGCATCCACGGTATGGCTGTGCCTCAAAACGGGGGTCTCGCATTTTTTGAGTTGGTGCCCTCTTTTTTGGTGGTTTTAGAGGGACACCGAACGGAGAACCATACACAACCATAGGCCACAGAAGTCTTGACCATGGCACATATGTCTCTTGTATCATAGCGAAGCTCCCGAACTGCGCGGTTTCCCCTTGGCTGCCCCCTTTAAACCCACAGGGACAGAACCCTCAAAAAACGACAGATCCACTTGAGCTTGGGTCAACATGTCCTGATTTGTCTATGGCCCATTTATGAGTGGCGTGGGGGAGCTCACTTGCACACAATCTGGGAGCCTCTTGGGGGAGCAAGTAAATTTGACTGTGGGCTCGTATTGGTGTTTGTTTGTTTGTTCGTTTGTTTGTTGTTTGTTTGTTGTTTGTTGTTTGTTTGTTTGTTTGTTTGTTTGTTTGTTTGTTTGTTTGTTCGTTCGCTTGCTCGCTCGTTCGTTCGTTCGTTCGTGTGTTTTGGTTTCTTTGTTATGTTTGTTATGTTTGTTTGTTTGTTTGTTTGTTTGTTTGTTTGTTTGTTTGTTTGTTTGTTTGTTTGTTTGTTTTGTTTGTTTTGTTTGGTTTTGTTTGTTTTGTTTGTTTGTTTGTTTGTTTGTTTGTTTGTTTGTTTGTTTGTTTGTTTTGTTTGTTTGTTTGTTTGTTTGTTTGTTTGTTTGTTTGTTTGTTTGTTTGTTTGTTCGTTCGTTCGCTCGCTCGCTCGCTCGTTCGTTCGTTCGTTCGTGTGTTTTGGTTTCTTTGTTATGTTTGTTTGTTTGTTTGTTTGTTTGTTTGTTTGTTTGTTTGTTTGTTTGTTTGTTTGTGTGTGTGTTTGTTTGTTTGTTTGTTTGTTTGTTTGTTTGTTTGTTTGTTTGTTTGTTTGTTTGTTTGTTTGTTTGTTTGTTTGTTTGTTTGTTTGTTTGTTTGTTTGTTTGTTTGTTTGTTTGTTCGTTCGTTCGTTCGTTCGTTCGTTCGTTCGTTCGTTCGTTTGTTCGCGTGTTTTGGCTTGCTTTGTTTGCTCGTTTGTTCGTTCGTTCGTTCGTTCGTTTGTTCGTGTGTTTTGGCTTGTTGTGTTTGGTTGTTTGTTTGTTTGTTTGTTTGTTTGTTGGTCCGTTCGTTCGTTCGTTCGTTCGTTCGTGTGTTTTGGTTTGTTTGTTTGTTTGTTTGTTTGTTTGTTTGTTTGTTTGTTTGTTTGTTGGTCCGTTCGTTCGTTCGTTCGTTCCTGTGTTTTGGTTTCTTTGTTTGTGTGTTTGTTTGTTTGTTTGTTTGTTTGTTTGTTTGTTTGTTTGTTTGTTTGTTTGTTTGTTGGTCCGTTCGTTCGTTCGTTCGTTCGTGTGTTTTGGTTTCTTTGTTTGTTTGTTTCTTTTTTTGTTTGTTTGTTTAGCACCAGAAAAAAGGGCACCCCTCAAACCCAAAACCGCAGAGCGAGGTTCTGCAGAGGCCTACGAAGAGCTACCGGATGCCAAGGACGAGTCGACGAGCGGCCGGGAGCGAGGGGGCTCGTGTCGTTCTTTTTCTCCTGCTGGTTCGAGAGGCAGGGAAGGAGAAATGGCCATGGGTCAAAATCCCGGTTAGCCCCCAGTGATCATCCCAATCCAACCACTACAATGGCACATCACCATCTTTCGTATGATGCAGCTGACAACGCCGGGCTCACGTTGTCAATGGGGATGCGGTCTGGCGCATTGGTGGACGCAATGGCAGATTTTGCGCAAGGCTTGTGCAGTTGCTTGTTGCACTACAGTAGCTTTGTGGTAGGATTGCTTGAGTCGCTTGAGAGTGTGAGAGCTTGTTGGATCACTGGGGCCCTAGGAGTTGCGTCGCACAGTCAATAATGATGAGATTTGCATTGTTACACACTCGTGGAGGGAGCGGTGCCGCGTGTGCTGCTGCCGATGGCGAGGATTTACCTTAGCGGGTTTCTCTGATGAGGTCTCTCACTGTGCGTGGCTGTGTGTGTGACTCTATGTGTGGTGTGGCGTGCTGTTGCTTAGGGCAGAGGCTGGGCTGTTTGCAGATGGGCAAGTCGGCAAGTGATTCGACAGAGTTATGCACCACACTGAAAGCTTCAGCTAGATGCTGAGACAGACCACATCACCATCTTTCGTATGATACAGCTGACAAAGTCGGGCTCGTGTTGTTCATGGGGATGCGGTTTGGCTGGGTTGGAAGAGAGAGAGAGAGAGAGGCAGACAGAGACAGAGAGTGGCATTGGTGGTATCAACAGCAGACTTTGCGCAAGGCTTGTCCAGTTGTACTTGACGCATGAACGATTGCTTGAGTCGCTTGAGAGTGTGAGAGCTTGTTGGATCACTGGGGCCCTAGGAGTTGCGTCGCACAGTCAATAATGATGAGATTTGCATTGTTACACACTCGTGGAGGGAGCGGTGCCGCGTGTGCTGCTGCCGATGGCGAGGATTTACCCTAGCGGGT